TTTATTTGATAATTTTTCTGTGTGGGAAGAGAATAAAAGGAGAAATAAACAAGACTACCCTCAACCTACAGAAGGTAAAAGGACGGGAATAAAGCAAATGAACATAAACCTGTAAATAATACTAAGTATTAAAGATAATTTAAAAAAAAACAAAGCCAGAACACATTGTAAAAATAACACTAAATAGCAAAGCTGCCTAAAGACAGCAGGACATAGCCTTTTCATCTGCTAGTCTGCATTTGATAGTCATAACTTTCATGGGAAAAAAAGGTTCAAGTACTTGACAGACTTGAGAGAAAATCTGTTTGGTATTTGGTGAGATAAAAGCCCCTGCCGGAGCCAGATGGCAAGGTGAACTGCTCCTCTGGAAGGAGCAATCACTTCTGTGGTGGGAGAAGATAATGCACCCTGAGACAGCAGGACACAGAAACATCACACTGACAAATCCTCTTGACACAGCAAACTGAGAGATTTCATTATCGAGGGATTGAGAAAATCTCCTGTAACCATTTGTGTTGTATCAGTAGAGAACGGCTATCATTCAGAAGAGCTTTACAATGAGGGAAGTTAAACACTAGGTCCTAGGAAAAAAAAGGACAGATTTGGAATGTACTTCCACAAAGATGACCAGGGTCAACCTCTTTTTTCTGACACACACGGGATTTTTCTTGTTGTTCATACTGTACATTCATACACAAGATAAAAAACACTGGGTGCCAGGTACAGCCTCTGCAGCACAACACAGCATTTTTCCTTTGAAACAAGATGTATTTGGCAAGATTTATTCACCAGTTGCTGAAGTCACACATGCAAGTATCTGTAGACCTCACATGACACCGACTGCACGGTGACATCTCAGAACCACACCGTGTGCAGCAGCCAGGCAGGGAGAGCTCAGGGCTGCCCCAGGACGGGCCCAAAACCCACAGTGGCATCGGGCAGAACCAAAAAAAAAAGGCAGGTGGATACATGCACTGACCCAGCCATTTTAATAGTTCCTCTCCTAAATGCCTGCACTATTTGTGGAAACATGTGAGAACAGAATTGCAAAATGAATAATGGATATTTGTCCTGGTTGTCAAGGGGGCCAAGCCACAAGACGTATGGGTTAGTGGCTATTCTGTCAAGCAGGGCAGGGAAAGAGGCTGAGTTTCTCCAGGACAGTGTGGTCCCTACATTGTAGGGAAGGAACAAGCACAGCAACATCACAACACCTTGTAAAATAATTTGCATTCATTTGCATGAACACGAAATCTCTGCAGATCCCTAGACCTTGCACGCTGTATTAAGAAGTTACCACCAGCTGTAACCATCTCGCAGCAAGAGGGTATCATTTTGATGAAATACTAATTGCAGTGCACATCCTACTAGGGCTCCTCAGGGAGGAGTGAAAAGCTGTGGGGAGGACTGCACACGCAGTTCATTTGCATCGGTTGTCCTTATTATTCCTCCAGGTTCTCTTTTCTTTCTGCAATATCAATTATGGCTCATGCAGTGACAACCATGGGGTGTAAAGGGAGTGATAGGGAGGCATGTTGAGTGACTGGCAGACATTTCAGGAGGTTTAACTTACCCCACTGCATCTCATTTTTTCCCTAATTTCTTATTTTCCCCTAATTTCCTTTCCCCTCCCGCTAAAAATCTACGTGGGATATGCTCAGGAATGTATTACATCTAGGAAAAAACCTGATGGAAACAAATTCCTGCATTCTTTGCATAAATAACCCTGTTGATCTCCTCCACAGACAATGCACAAATAGCTGCGGATATCCAGAGCTTTCGCCCATGTTTGGGAAGGTCCTGAACGGGAGGCGTACTCCTGACTGCTTACTGTGCGCAGGTTTTGTAGGGAAACAATGCTTCCAAATTGTTTGGGGCTTCAAACAGGTTAACACAGGTCTCATGTCAGCTGCTCTGGAGATCACCTAGAACTGACTTAACCCCCCCACCTCCAAAAAAAAAAAAAAAAAAAAAAAAAAGCCCAAACAAAAACAAAACAGAATTTAATTTAATGCACTCCTCTCTTGGAGAGTTAATTTTCACCTGAAAAGGTCACAAGGTAGCAGAGGTGTGAAATCTGATAGCACCACCAAAGCCTGGCAGGTTTCTACTCAAATTCCTACAGGAAAGGTCTTCCTCCCTGTTCTTGCTGCTGTAAACTTGGTTTCGAAGCAAGGTCTGCCCATAGTCCCCAATATTTCCTTATGCACATGCAGCCATTTGGACATACATCTGCAGAAAGAATTGCAAAGCCTTTACTCCAGAGCAAAGTCATTTCCCTCCCATGTTGCCTTGCAACAGACCGGCCAGCTGGGAACAAATGGATTTCAGAAGTGCAAATTGATTGAATCAGTTTCAGAAAAGCAATCACCGTAGATCTAAGGTTTACCTAGGTAGTTCCAATAGCAACTGAGTTAGCATCATGTTATGTCTACCGTGCATACGAAAACCACGCTCCTGGAAATACTGGCTCATGTTTCTTGATAAGAGAATAGGCTTGGTATTCAGTAGAGACTACAGAAAATGGAAACCTCTAAAGACCTTAATTTGAAAACGCCTTTTTGAAGGATGAAATTCTTGGAATTGCAAGTGGCAGCGTTTTAAACTGATTCTGTTTCCAGAAATTTGATGGTAATTTTTCAGCTGCCTTTGCTAACCAGCGTTTTCTGGTGTACAAACCCAGCCATGAGATCAGGGGCTTTGTCTCCTTATTTGTCAATCATCTGACTTAGCTTATAACATTAAAGTCTTTATTTGAACAGCATGGCAAAAACCAAAAGCTTTAGGAGAAAAGTTTCAACTTGTTCAAAATCCACATGCTTTTTGAATGAAAAATTATCACAATTGTTGCTGAAACTCCAAGTCTTGATAAAAAGAATGGCTTTTTATAAGCAGAATGCCAAAAGTTTCAGTGACTTCAAAAGTATTATGAAAGGTTGGTTGGGGTTTTCTTAGAAAGTAATTTTGAGATTAAAGAGTAACAAGTGTTATAAAAGGTTGGTTGAGGTTTTTTTAGAAAGTCATTTTGAGATTAAAGAGTAACAATTGTTACAAGCTTTACTTCAATTAGTATACAAGTTTTTTCTGTTTAGAAAGAAATATCCATCTCAGCTCACAAGGGACAGCTCATATAAAGCCCAAACGTGTAGTGCAGCAAGCACCTAGGCTGGAAAACCTGTTTACCAGCAGGCTTCGTCCCTTGGGCTTTACAGGTCCCTCTGGAAGCTTCCCTTGTGGGATCCCCGCTGTCTGACAGTGGTCCTCCTGACTCTTTCCCTGAGATCAGCTATCTTTGAAACCCCTTGCTTTCTGGTTGAAATTAGGCAACAGGCCAGAATCTGATGGAAGATGAGAGAGAGAGAGAGACACTTCTCACGGAGTTTGCATGTCCTTAGGGAAAAGGGACTAAAAGCATATACCAGAAGAAGGTTTTCAAAAGAGATGCTAGGCTACTGGTTGTTGTAAGGAGTGAGAGTCAGAGAGTTTTGCTGTATATTCCTGTGACTGTGTAATCCGTCTCACTTTACAGTACTTGGTTCCTACATAAGAAAAATAATCCCTAAAAATAGAAAGGTACTAGTCAGGAAGGATCAGAATCACTTTTATCACTTTATGTTCTTCATGATGAATGTGTCTTTCCCAATGCCTGTGTTGGGAAAACTAAAGCGGAGACTCAAATAGAGTACTGAACACATCATTGAAGGAAGGTGCTTTCCCTTCTATATTGCAGGATGAGTTTGTGCCCAGAGAGGCTCAGAGAGAGGCTAAGAGAGGCCAGGCACTGTGCTGCCAGAGATCCTGTGCTAAATCCTGCAGCAGCTGCCTGTGTTCAGGAAGCCAACTTGTGCTGAGGGCTACTTCAACTGCATTAATGGGTGGGATCTCACCATTAACAGTTCCGCTATTGTTAATTACAGCCTTTCATGCTGTATATATGTTATACATATGTATATATTTCTTCAGCAGCCAATAATAAGGGCTCCTCCTGTCCCATGCCAGCATTGCTTATGTCAGGGAAGGAGAGGATTGGGTGCATGGGTGTGCAGCTCTGCCTGCCCACACAGCAGCATCTTCTCACCTTTTACCTTTGCACATTCCCATCTTACTCTGCTGTGAGCTCTCCCAGCTAGGAATAGCCACTCTACCTTGCTTCTCATGGAATGTATTTACAAATCATCGCTGTTTATCTCAGAGGTGGCCAGGATGCTCTTGGGTACCAGCGGCTGCAAGCCCTGCTCGCCGACAGCCTATTCCTCCCCACAGAGGATGCCCCTCAGGAAGCAGCTGCGATGCTGGAACAGGCAGGGTTTTACAGCTGTGTGTGTGCTGTGCTACCTGTTCAGACTTTCTTTGAGCTGCTCCTTGTGAGCTGAGGTGGATGTTTCTTTCTAAAAACAAAAATCTTGCATAGGGATTATAATGAAGCACGTAGCAGTTGTTACTGTTCTGTATAAAAATGACATTCTTCTAAAAGAAAGCCAACCAGCTTTTCGTAATACTTTTAAAATTATTGGAACTTTCGGCATTCTACACACAAAAAAAACCCCAAACAAAAAACCAACCAACCAAACAGCAAACCCCTCATTTTTTCCCCAACACTCAAGAGTTTTAACAATTGTGATGATTTTTCAAAGAGTGCGTACATTTTGAACAAGGTGAGAGTTTTCTCCTAAAACTTGGGTACTTTTCCATGCTATCCAAACCAAGACTTCAATGTTATGAGCTAAGCCAGATGAAGGAGGAGACTGAGCCCCGGAGCTCATGGCTGGGTTTGTGCATCTCAGCCCCGCAGCCCTGCCCGCCGCGGGGGCTCCGGCCCAGCACCGCTCCTTCCCCACTCCCGGCTGGATGGATGGATGGACGGATGGACGGAGCTCTCCTCTCGCTCTCCTCTCCTCGGCCCTGCCCCGCCGGGATCCCGCCTGGCGCCTTCCACCGGCGCTGCCCCCGCTCCGCGTCACGGCCCGCGCGGCGGCGGAAGCGGCGGGGAAGGCGGGACGGGAAGGCGGGGCGGGAGGGCGGTGTTAAAGCGGCGGCGGGGCCGTGTCGTGCCGTGCCGTGCCGTGCCGAGCCGCGCCGATGGAGCCGGGCGGCGAGAGTGGCTGCTGGTTCCTGTACTTCGCGTACGGCAGCAACCTGCTGCGGGAGCGGCTGCTGCTGCGCAACCCCTCGGCCGCGCTCTGCGCCCTGGCGCGCCTGCAGGTGCGTGAGGGAGCGGCTGGCGGGGCCGCGGGGGGGGCTGAGGGGGCCCCACAATTCCTGCAGGGAGCTCCACAATTCCTGCAGGGAGCCTGGGATCCCCCGCGGAGCCGCGTGTCCCCGCGGCCGCCTGCGGTCCGGTGCTGCAGCCCGTCCGTCCCTCCCACGGTGGAGGCCCCAGCACGGATCAGGCGAGGCGTCCTGGTCAAGGCGATGGTGCCCGGTTCTGTACCCTGGTGCCCAGTGACAGGACAAGGAGTGATGGACGTAAACTAAAACAGAAGAAGTTTCACCTCAGCATGAGGAGTAATTTCTTTATGTTGAGGGAGGCAGAGCATTGAACAGGCTTCCCAGGGAGGTTGTGGAGTTTGTCTGGAGACATTCCAAATCCTCTCGGACGCGTTCCTGTGAAACCTGCTTGAGGTGACCATGCCTTGGCAGAAGGGGTTGGACAGATGATCTCGGGAGTTCCCTTCCAGCCCTGGCCATCCTGTGCTTCTTGACCCAGGCCCCGCTGCTGGGGCTGCCCACAGCAGAAGGAATGTTTGTGGTAGTCCCTGCTGCGGGGTTATCTGACAGGGCTTAACCTTCCCGGCTGCCAGCCATGAGCCATGGCCCGGTGTCTAAAGCACTACGGAGTTTGAAAATGTGAAGTAGCAGGGAGAAATTCTTTACAGCGAGGGTGGTGAGTCACTGGAGTAGATTGCCCAGAGAATTTGTGGATGCCCCATCCCTGGTAATGTTCAAGACCAGGTTGGATGTGGCTTTAAGCAAACCAGTCGAGTGGGAGGTGTCCCTGGTACAGGGAAGAGTTCTCCCTGTGCTGTGTGATGGGCAGATAGGAGCTTTCACCCAGCTCTGCACATCTGCAGCTGACACCTTCACAGACGCTACAGGGCAATTCTCTCCCTGCTAGGGTTATTAGATGCCGTTGTATCAGCTTGGCTTTAGTATAGGCGTGGAAACACGAGCTTGTAGTCATTAAAGCTGTTGATGTACAGATCTGTGCAACTGGAAGGATGCTTGGAGGAGCAGAGTATTAATCGATACCACTTAAAGATGACTTAAAGTTTCTCTTGGAGTAACTGGCAGGAAATTATCTATGTTAGAGTGTATGAAGAAGTTCCAAAAACTTGTCATTAATAAACTCCCCATAGTCAGATACTTGGTGTCTCTTGGGACTATCAACCTGGCAGCTGAGGCCTGCTCCTATAAAGCATGAGGAACTCGAAGCTACCCCTCCATTGAACGTGCTGAGAGCCCAGCACCTTGCAGAATCAGACTCTGAATGCAGGGAGAAAGGCACTAGTAGTGTGTGCTTATCTTTGAATAAAAGCAAGCTTTTTCAGCTCTCCTGGCTCTCAGGTTGATTTCCAGGTTAGCCAGTAAGCACTTCTGGCCCCACTGCAGGTTGGCTGCCTTCTCTAACTGGCCTTTGACCGGGTAGCTTCACTCCCTTGCTTCCAGTTGGAAAATCACTGATGCTAGGGAATGAGGGACTGCAGGAAGGTTGGAGCTGATTCCTATTTATTGCTCTGTGATAGTGCCACTTGGGCTTAAAAAAAGGAGAAACAGCCTGCAAACAGAGTGCTTTGGATCCTAAACTAAAGTAAAAACTTGAACTAAAGTTTAGCTAAGCTTCCCTCTAATTTTACTTTTGGAAGCTTTGTTAATCTTCAGCCAAAAGCTGATAAGAAATGGGATGTGTAACAAGCACAGGAAGGGTATTACACTGGTACTTAGAAGGACCAAAGGCCAATCTCTTGACCCAGGAAAGTATCTACTGTGTTTTTTCCCATCTTCCCAGCAGCACGTGATGCAGTTGCACGCGTGGTGAAATTTAGAGTTTCCTGCTTCCGGAACCAGAGTTAACTGTGCTGTTTTTGTGGGGTCTCTGTTGCTGTTTTTTTGGGTGGTGCCTGATGATTTTATACAGCTCCTTGTAGCTATTCAGTGCAGGTCAGGTCCAAGTAAGTTTAACTGGAGGAATAAAGTAAAAATTCATGGGGGTTCCCCCCCCCCTTTTTTTTTTTTTTGCAACCTTTTTCCTATATCTATTAGGACATATTACAAGAGAGTGATGTGTTTCAGAGGGAATATTAATGTGCACATGTGTATGTTTCAAATCAAAATCAGAGCTTCAAGAGGGTGGTTGCAAGAAATACACAAAGCTGCGGGGCTGTGTAGGTTTGGGTGTAATAATATTGAGTGCATTGAGTCGAGTGAGAAATTACATTGATACCATTGAATAACCCATTATTCTTTTTTCATATATACCTGTATTTGATATTGCTTGTAAGAAAAAGTAATACTTGTTTTCTAAAAGAATGTTTCTACTTGCAAAAACCTGAATAAGACCACTGAAGGAGACATACACCTTGACTTAAAAATACCCAAAGATGTTCCAGATGAGTGATGACATGGCACAAAAAATTGTAGAATACAAGGGATGGTATTTTATAATTGCATAGTCTTATTAGTGCATGAGGATAGGATCCAGAGCTCATCATCTTGTAGACTTCTTTACTATTTTCCTGGATCCTGCATAGTAGCATTTAAGTCTTATCACAAAATCCTGCAAAGGATTTGGCACCAGGTGGCACCTATCTGTTCTTCCTTCTGTGTCTCCAACTGGCTACATTTACCATTGTCCTTTGGCTGCCCCTTTCATATGAAGAATAGCCAACAGCTCTTATTTTAAGTGGACATTGATTCTCTGTGTTGCTTTCATTTGCAGGATTTTAAGCTCGAGTTTGGCCACCATCAAGGCAGGACAAGTTCTGTCTGGCATGGAGGTACAGCTACCATTGCTCAGAGCCCCGGAGACGAAGTGTGGGGAATAGTGTGGAAAATGAACACTTGCAATTTAAGTTCACTGGATAAGTAGGTGACTTAAGTTTTGCTGCCTTCTACTACCTTAGAGAGTGATTGAAAATTAGTTAATTTTTGGTAAAGAGCTGTGTGGAAGCTATGGTGTTGAAATCGAGGAGATGCTTTTGATTTTAGTATGTTAATTCTATTTCACAGTATGTGTATTGACTTCGGACACATCTGTGATTAAAATAGTTTTGTTTTCAAGCTAAGGCTACTTTTAGGGGTATTTTAACAATCTGTAGACCTTGATTTGAAGTCAATAGGTCATGTTCTTTTTTTTTTTTTTAACCTGTCTTCCCAATTTCATGAGTCTAAAATCTGTATTTGTCCTATGGTGTTTTTCCCATTACTCTAGGGAGAATTTCCTTTGAGACTGACATTAATGTCTGTCTGTATACATCTGTAGATTCCCGTTGTAGCAGAAAAGGAAGGGATAAGGACAAGACTGCAGAAGAGAGATCTTTAATACAGGAAAAGGGACCTTTTGAGGAAGTTATTTAACGTGTCTTCTAAGGATGTAAGCTTTTATGAGCTTGAGGAATATCCAAGCAGAGAGTTGGGGTGTTAGTGTTTTCCCCTTTGAATGGGAGAGCCTGACTGTGCCTGGTAATTAAGAGATGTTCAAGGAGCCCTGAGCAAATTGCTCCCAGACTGAAGTCTAAAAGACCACCTGGTTAAACAAACCAAGGAATAGCATGATTTCTCGCAGGGTCTAAGACAGGGCTTAGAATGTAATCTCCAAAGCTTTGCCTGCTGCCATGTGCTTGTTGCACCTTTCGAGATGTGCCTGCACAGCATGCTGCTTCTGGTACAGAAGGACTGTTTGTTGAGAGCAGTTCATCACTGACAATTCCAGTAGAAAACAAGGGAGCAGGGCATAGTAAACCCAGTGAAAGCACCACCTCAATACTGTTCTCCTGTCTCTCGTGCTGTTGCAATTTCACTGGGTAAACATCCTTAAAACCCTGGCCCTGAAACTTGGTTCCAATGTGCTTTTTGTTGCATATGGTGAACCTGGAATACAACAGAAACTGTTGCCCAAGTTCTGTTAGCAGGTTATGGCAATGGCCACTCTGAGCACTCTTGTCCCGGCTGGGAGTGTTAGCCTCAAGCAAGAGGGCATCTAGTTGGCATGCCTGTGGATAGCTTCACATGTCCCTGCTTTATGATCTCCCAAGTGCCTCTGCTCTTGCTTACAGTAGCACTTTAATGTCCTGACCCCCTTCTGCTGACCTTTACTTAAAACTCCTGATTTACCATGCTTTCCTGAAACATAAACTTCCTAAGTATGATGATCCTGTCTGACAGCATATGCTTTTGTGTTTCCCCTCCATGGGGACAGTATTTTGTACTTTGACTTCCATAAGTGTTTACACTTTGTTTACTGTTGACACAGTGTAGGATTGCAGATCCCTGGTATTTGTTTGATGGGATAAATTTCAGTGCTTGCTAAGGTATTAGAGACTTGAGTGCTGTAACACCACCAAAATCTGCAGCATGGACACTAGCACACAAATCACTCTTTCTGTTGCCTCATTGATGCCATGGAGGTGAACTGGAAATGGGATGTGTTCTTGGCTTTTACAATCATAGTCAACAGTGCTCTTCTGAGAATTGCTCCCAACCTACTCAAATGAGTTTGCAGGTGCTCCTGCTGAAGGTCTTGGGATCATTTGGCTGCCTGCAAGCTGATATATTTGTAGGTTCTCCACCAAGTTATTTCCTGAAATTAACATGTATCCAAAAAAAAAAAAAAAAAAAAAAAAAACACTTCTTCTTTTTTTTTTTTTTTAATACCACTCCTGATCTGGGTAAAGTCTGTGCTTTTCTATCCAGAAGCAGAGGAAGGAATGTGTAATTGAGGCTGTATGTAACTAGTTGAAACACTAACAAGACAATGTAATATATAGAAAAAAAAAGAGAGGGGAACGTTTTGCTTAGATGGCAGAACTCTTTGGCTTCAAATTCTTTTTTTTTTTGCTGTCTCACAGTCACTTCTGTGGGGTTTTTTGTCTTCTGTACTTCACAAATCTGTAAGTTACAGACTAAATCATTACTTTCCCTCATAGAGTCTAGCAGTGGATGTTACTAAACAGTTTTCCTGCTCTCACACAACCATGTGACTTATTTTGTACTCAGTTGGCCATGAATCTGCAGTTAACTTCCAGTCTGTACTTGCACTTAAACTAGTTACTCACCTAACATGGCCTACATTATGTATGTTAAATAACTTGAAATGGTAGCAAGTCTTTGAAAAAAAGATGAGTTGTTAAATTTATACTGACAAGCAGGGTTAAAACCATGTTATGACTCATAGCTAAAATACATCTAAAGTTAATTGTGCTATAAAGTCTCTTGTATTGCTTAAGCTTCTCGTTTACTTCTTACTGTTTCCTCAGATTTTTATTGGTGGCTGAATGCCAGTGGTTGAGGACAATAGGTAGCCTTGGTTTTGAGTGTTTGTTTTCTGAAGCATGATTTTACTAATAAATAAAAAAGAAACCAAAATGTTTTTTTGCCCTGACCTAGCTCATTACTGTTGTGTATGTCTTGTGCAAGTTAAAAGGTATCTTGGATTATTCATTGGAAAGTGCATTGCACAAGTTGTGCAAGTTTCCCCTCATTAAAATGTAACATAATAGGCAAGATAAAACTTTGCAATTGTTTCTTTATCTGAGTGGCAGTTAAGGAACATGTGTTAATAATTCTGATAATCTTGCTTCTGTTTCTCTTTCAGACTACCTGTCTTTCACAGTAATTACTTTAGGAGCATTCTCTTTCTGACTTTGCAGGTTAATCACAAGTCATTATTTCTTACAGAGCCTAAATGATAAAAGTGAATGCTGCTGCTTCTCTAGAAACATTTTTTTTTAATATGAAACAAGTTTGCACTAAAAATTTGAATTATGTTTTGTTTTATTTGTTTTTCTTTAAGTATATTAAAGCACAGACCGGTGTCCTGCCTTGAATTCTGTTATAATAAATCCATATGTTTAATTGCATGGTTGGTTTCAAAGATGGATTGGTTAATTGACATGAAAGGAATGTATGTCTTTTACAGGCAAGAGGGAGTTGAGGATGGCATTTATGTCCCAATAGAAGTTAATGTCCACACTCAAGCAGGAAAGGTACTGACCTGTCGAAGCTACCAGATGAAGGACTATGTCTCTGGTCCCCCTTCTCCACAGTACAAAAAGGTAGATGTTGCATCACTTTAATTTTGGAAGAGCTTACAGCGGTTTATAATGTAGTATTTCTGTGCTATTTAAGAAGTACTTCAATTATGTGGATGGAAGGCATGACTACTGTAAAGGTATAACAGTCCTTGTGCAATGTACTGCTGTAATGATGCTCACAGGAGATTGCTAGCTCTTACAGGCCTATTAAATCAGTTTGGGGTTTTTGGTTTAGTTATACCTCACAGGAAGTCCCTATTTAACTTGTGAATTAGCTATGATTGGCACAAGGACTTCTGGAGGATATTGTTCACCTATATGTGGGAATTCTCTGTTTGAAAAATTAATGTACTCCAAAGAAAAGACAGAGGGAAGCTTCTGTGGGGAAAATACAGCACCTGGCTTGTAGTTTCCAGGACGTGGATTATCCTTTGTGTCTTGGGAAGTACTTGCTATGGCTTAATACAGGAGTGCACCTGTTGCCTTTTACCAGACATCACCAGTACATCTCAGGACTCCAGCAGCATTGCAGAGCACTGCAGGGTTCCCCCTTGATGGCTGGTGAGGCAGAAGTGTTTCAACACTGTTCTGCAACCCTGACTCTGTAGGGACACATGATCCAGTCATGCAGCAGGCCTGACCTGCTTAGCCTGTGAGATCTGTGCAGGCCCACGCTGTGGCTGTCTGTCTGAGTGGTGCAGCTTTAGTGCTGCTACACAGACATCACTGCAGCTGGCTTTTCCTACCTGAAGTAAAGAGACTAGGAGTGAGCCTAATTTAATCCCAAGTGTACTGCCTTCTCCAAACTGAGGAACTCACTCCTATGAATTGACTTCCAGGAGCACAGCTAAGGCCTGCTGCTATGGGACTGCTGAAGACAGGGCTTGCTTAGAAAGCAGGCTCTGCTTTTCTACAAACCTCTTCCCTGCCAACCCACCTCGTAGCAAGGCAGATCTTTAGGGCTTTTCAGGGAGTTAATATATAGTCTGCTGCTGTGTGTCAGCTCTCATTGGTATTCTGTAAGTGCAGATTTCCCCTATTGGTAACATTCCCTCCTGGTCCTGTCAGGAGTAGTTGTTAGTCCTGTTCTTCTCCTCTGCCTCCAGATTTATTTTTTTTTAAGTTAACCAGGCAGGAGAGCTAAAAACTTAAAAGAAGACTATACCAGCACACAGTGATCAAACTACATTCATCTACTGTTATGTACTTTTTGTGGCAAAATTCTTTCTAGACACCTCATCCTTGAAATGCATGCTGTTAAATGCATGAAAGCATATTTAGAATGTTCATTTCTATATGCAAGCTTGCTGGTATCTCCTTCAAGCTGTGTTCCTACACCTTCCTCTTTTCCTCTCACTGTTGCATCTTTTCTTCTGCACCAATACTTCAGTTTATTTTATGTATGGAAGGAAAGCTGCATTAACAAACTGTTTTTTCACTGAGTTAAATGTCTGTTTCTGTTACTCCTTTACCCTGTCTAGGTAATTGTTTTGTCCTTTGGGCAGGTTAGTTTTTAAAATAACTGCTTTTTAAATCTTTGGCAAACTTTAGTGTCACACCTGAGTGAGAAGCAGCATATATTATTGAAGTTATCATCCTGTCTGGAAGAAAGAATGGGATAACTGAATAACTGCTTAATTATAGAGTCTTGTGCACTTCAGTAACACATCAGATTCTCAGGGGGAGTTAAAAGCCATTTCAGAATAATTTTGTTCATGGTGTTCTGGTCTTCAGTGGTCTCCCAAAACCTTAGGTTCAAATAGTACTATTTAAGATAAATTCTCTGGGTGACTTAAATTGTTCTTCCTACTCAAGTGATTGTTTGGAGGAGTCTGTCCTTTCTATTACTGAAGGCTTTTTTTTTTTTTCCCTTTTAATAATAGGTTATCTGCATGGGTGCAAAACAGAATGGCTTGCCAACTGATTATCAGGAGAAATTAGAAGCTATTGAAACTAATAACTATGCAGGACCGGTGCCAATCATGGAAGAGATTGAAGCTGCTATTAAAGCAGAGAAAATAAATTCTGCATAGAATACCTCTGCATTTGCTTGGCCATTCACCTTGATTTAGATACCTCTCCTCACTGTGCTGATCAGCAGTTTCTTTATTTATCAAGAAAATACGAGTTTGCTGTGCATCTACAGTAAACCATTAGACATAACTTGCAGTCTGAAGACACACTGACACTGGTAACTTCTTTTTGTATGTATAGCTTGAATACATGCTGAAAGTACATTGCAGATTTAGAAATTATCTTTCTGTAACTGTCATGCAGTGCTGCATGCAAATTTGTGCTTCATGTCCAATTTACTGACCTTTTTAAAAGAAAAAGGCCATCTTCATGAATTTTGGCACTTCTTGCCTTCTGAGGAATAAGGGCTCCAGGATAAGGTAATCTGTTTGTAAAAGTTATATTTATACAAGATTACTTTGCATCTAACAAATGTAAACTCAAAACTCTAAGGCTAAGTCTTTTTATCTGCTACTTCTCTTAATGGTTTAAAGCCCAACCTGTTCCTACTTTATAGTTAACAAAACAGAAAAGTAGCATTTTTTTAAACTTCTTGTATGTTTTAAAGCATAAGTCCAAAAGGCAGCCTAGCATGAAGATGACATTCAGCAAAGCATCTCATTCAAACCATCATAGCTTCCTCCTTTCAATGTCCAGTGATTGTGATAGGTGAACTGGTTAGCTGTAACCAAGAGATTTTTAAAGAATTCATTTTAGTTTGATATTTCCAAGGGTTTTTTTAAATTACCTTTTTGACTGGCTTGTTTGCCTATCTAGGCCTTGGTCCAATGAAATCAGAAAGTCTCCTTTGAGCCCTAGCTCATTTATTCTGTGGTTTTGTTTGTCTTTTAAACCCCAAGTGAACAGACTTGGCCTCTTGTATTTTTTTTTGTTGTTTTTTTTTTTCTCCACACAGCTTTGACAATCCAACGCAAAACTGGAATCTTTTGTAATGTACAGAGTATTTATTTTCATGGTACTTTACAACCCCTGCAGTTAGTCTATGGGGGATGAGGAAAAATTGACAACCTGGAAGATGGCAAATCACAGAGATTTGGTTTATCTTCTCTACAGTGTATTTTTTTCTCTTGATGTACAGAGAGGTGTAAGATATAATTGAGGTCACTGTGTGACTGCTTAGATAATGAAATGATAAAATAACAGACTGACCATGTCTTCTCTGTATAAAATGTTTTCTATAAACTTCTGCCAGGTGTGTGTAGCTGCTGTCTTGATGTAATATGCCTGTTTCCAGAGTTGGGCACGGTGACTGCTGTAAAACGTGGTACTTTCTGTATTAGCACAGTCTAGTTTGAGTAAATAAAATCGTGATTACCAAACCTCTGCCATGCCTGTTCAGTGTGCACCCCTCAAGAATATCACTGAATCACAGACTCTTAAAGGTTGGAAGGGACCTCTGGAGGTCATTCAGTCCAACGTGCTCTCAAGGCAGGGTGACCTCGAGCAGGAGACATAGGAACACGTCCAGGTGGGTTTGGAATGTCTCCGGAGCGAGAGACTCCGAGACATCCTTGTGCAGACTGCGTTGCTTATGTAAATCAAAACTGGTGATGTGGGAATGCAGCTGAAGATTCCATTAGCTGTTTGTGTTTTTTATGGATGTAATGTCAGTAGGGACTGCAAAACTATGCGTGAAAAACTCTTCTGCAACAGCACCACTTCTTTTGCCTTACCCTTACCTTGCACCTTTGGACTTTTCAACCTCAAAATGGGTGAAGAAAACAGAAATAATACCCCGGCAGTAGCCTTGCGAGGGGGGAGCTTGACCGAGGGAAATAGTAGCTGCAGAGGAACCCCTGGCACCTCTCGGGGGAAGAGGGGTGGGTGCGGAGGGGAATGCGATGCTGATGAAGGGGAAGCCTTGGGCCATTCCTGCGCGGGGAGGAGCCGCTTCCCGCCGGGGAGGAGAGGCCGCGTGTGGGGCGGAGGGGTGAGGGAAGCGCCCGTGGGCTCCTCCCCTGGGCTCCGTCCCTTCGGCGCCGCGGTGAGTACCGGGGAAGGGCCGGGGAGCGGGCTGGCCGCGGGGGGAGAGAGCTGGCGGGTGCGAGCTTGAGTGTCTGCTTTCTGTGAAGCAAAGTTTCCGTGGTACCGCCTGAGAGGCATGCAAGGTGGGAGGGGGAAGGGCTGCGCCGCTCCTGAGCTGGAAACGTGGGAGCTCCTTCGTGTTTCCTCTGGAGGGTCCGTCCCCCCCGGGGGAGGCGGCGGCTGGCGCTGTGTGACAGGGAGCGGGGACGGGCGGCAGCGCCCGCAGCGCCTCGGCGTGGGGACAGCGCCTTCCGAAACACGAAACACAGCAGCGCTGCCCGGCGAAAATGCTATTCCACATGCTGGCGAGGATGTGGTGTTCCCGTGGGCTGGTGGGGAAGGCTGGCAAGGTCTCGGGTACGGAGGAGGTGGGAGGAATGCATCGCTCCGCTCCTGCCCTGGCGCTCGCCTCGCTGCCCCGGTAGCGGGGCACAGTGAGCCATTCGCTTCCCCGAAAGCCGGAGCCGAGATCCCAATCCATGCGCGGACTCCCGCGGCGCTCGCCTAGGCCCCGGTGCTTTGCTGACATAACGCGAAAGGAGTTGGAACAGAAGGAGGCGGGAGCGGTTCGCAGGGAAGGATTGTGCTCCGTGGCCTGGCCACGATTCCATCAGTTCCGTGATTCCACCAGCTGCAACTTTCCCTGTAGGATTCATTGGTGGTTGAATGTGAAAATAGTAAATGACAGTAGAAAAGCAGTCCCATGTTTATAGACAGCAGTAAATTGCCCCCTCCTCCTCTGTCTCTTAACAAAAAAAACCAAAAAACCTCCCCAAGATTTCTCTGGTTGGAGAAAGTTTCTTTGCTTTCTAGTAGTGACTCATTATTTATTGATCTTTTCCCGCCGAGAAGGAGTTACAAGGAAGCTGCATAAAGTCTTCCTGACAGGCGCTTCTTAATGCATCCAAACACTGTGTATGAAGTTCTTTCTATACAAAGGAATCTGTTAAGATGTATAGGAACAAAACCTGTGAGGAATGTGAATATTTCTGTCAAAGCCTGTGTCTTTTAAAGAAAAGCTTGTCATTTTACCAGATGGAGGCAGAAATAATTTCTTCTGTGTTCTTTTATGTCTGTTGCTGTTCAGATAACTAGGGATGCTTACAAAAGCTTATGATACAATCAGAAGAGAGGGAGAGAGGCGAGGGAGGAAAATCCACTGAAAGATGCTGATCTCTGTCACCCCAGAGCGATGCAAGAGCACAGAAGTTGTAATGGATTTACAGGAACCTGATGTTAACATATGCCTCCCTGGGCATTTATTGACATATGGAGCATCAGTGATGATAGTTAGAGATTGTGGAGTGTGATGAGTATGCTTTAATTCACACAAACAGAATAATTGAAGACTCTGTACAAGCTCTACCAATGCACCATTTTTGCTATAATAATAAAAGGCTATTTTTTAGTGTTTTGGGAATTCATTGCATTGCTTCTCATCAAACATGCAGACTTTTTGTGTAGCATATGTGCCCATTGGCCTCTGATCTCCATGTGCTTTTTACTGTTCTTGTACTAAGTAAAATAGCTGAAGTTCTTTTAAATGTGAGAGCTGTTGTGTGGAAATAGGTGTTTTATTCACTTATTATAGTCAAAGACTGATTGCTGTTGCACACATGACATAAGATGTGGAAAATCTGTCCCTTTTCTGTCTCTCCCAATGATAACAAAAAGTTGAATTTATGCTGGCTTGACAGAGTCCAGATTACCAAGCATAGCAAAGTTTCCAGTTCTCCTCTTGCTATAATGACTCTGTAGTGAGTAACTGGCACTGTAAAATAGCTTTTCTCAGAAAACGAATCTGACTTGAAGACACAAAGGGCATAGGGCTCCATTTCGTGTGAAATGCAGCATTGTTTTCATGCAGCGATCTCTGGAAGAGTGATTGTATTTTGAATGCTATGGACAGAAGGCTGTGCTACTGGGAACTCCACTAGCCCTAGGCTGGCACTCAGGTTTGTGTGCTTCACTGTTGTCCTGACAGAGCTACTAGGTGCTGTGTAAATCCTGAAGATATTCCAGCTACTGGGTGCAGGTAACTAGGTAAGTAGCACAGGACTTTATTTCACAGGCAATTTAGAGGAACAGTTCTTGTCAGAACAGCAAAACTGCAGAAGAAGTAGTATTGACTGAGTTTTTAGCTCTTCAGAAATATTCTAGGTTGGTCTCAAATCAGTTGCTTTAAGGGATAGTTGTTAATTAAGTTGCTCCTTGTATTGCCTTTACTGCATCATCCTACACAGTTTCCTTGGGAGCAGCCAGCTCAATAAGGACTCAATTCCCTAGCTGACCCAAAAGTTGAAATTTTTTTTAGCTGTTCTGTAAGATCCTTCAGCCCCTTTATCTACAGCATTTACCTTTGACAAGACTTTGTTGCAATAAACCAGCACATTCTTTGCTGCCAGGAGTCTTGCAGCACTGGAAGTGGAACAGGCATCACAGTTTTGTTAGAAGAAAAAGCTAGGAGATCTTAGTAAAAAGAGGATGTGAGGAGGGCAGGGCCAGGAAAAAGTAGAAATGTATATATGCTTGCACAATGCTGAGAGTAGAGGGAACTCAGAGGAAGCACTAGATAGAAGTGCCAGTGCCTTCATGCAGAAGGCATTGGCACCAACTGCAGGTTATTGACATGGATTGTACAAAACCTACTGGAAGTACTGATGCTTTTACTGTACCTCTTACTATGACGAATTTCATTTCCCTTTTTCATTTCCCTCCTTATTCCTGGCCTGATCCCCATCTTGCTTCCTCTTTTTATTCTCAGTTGCACGGATTTATGATAGCTTTGATTGTGACACTTGCTGTTGCTTCTCATATCACTTCAATCCCCATCAACATTTCATGTTGCCTAGACCCTGTCTACCCTTTCTTCTTGGCTTTTACAGCTGATAGGTAAGTATTCTGCTCTTGGTTTCTTTTTCATTCCTTCTAGTCTATTTCCTGCCTTCTTCACCTCATGGACTTTGTTGTCCTCACAATGGCTAACTGCATTTCCTCTCCAACATCACAGCCTCTTCAGTAAGTAACTGGGTTTTTTTATTTTTCCTCTTAGGAACAAGAAATCTGTTCTGTTCCCAGATAGGAAACTTTTCCCCGTGAGTGTTTCTCCTGTTGTCTCCCCATACCAGACTCCTGCTTCACTCACGTATCATCTGTCTTGTCTATCTCCATTCCTCCTTAGGTGTTCTGGTGTTTCAGCTACTCTGTCAAGCTTGCAAATCTTTCCCTTTTTTTGCTCATTTCTCCAAACAGATGTGTTCACAAGTTGTTAGAACATGTGGTCTGTTTTGACCATAACTTGTAAGAGCCTTAAGGTGCCTTTCTGAGAAAAATTATTTTATTCATTTTAGCCCTTTCAGAAATAGAAGGCAGTACACTGAGGTGTCTCACATTAATGTGTGTCGCAGTCTTTTCTAACAGCATCCCCATGACTGATGCAACATCAGTCACACGAATTGCATTGGAATTGAATCCATTATCTGGAGGGCCCAAGATAAGGCAAAGAACACTGTATGCACTCTAGTAAAGAAGTGCTTTCAATGCCTGTTTATAAGCTGCATTAGCATTTACCTTTAAACATACCAGATGTGTAACCTAGCATTGTAAAACTGACAGATCCTTCCACAAGAGACTTAGGTTTCTTCATACAGCTGATGCACTTTGCTAAGAGTACATGTAGCAGGAAGTCTTTCTGTTCCAGCACCATTTAAAGTGTTCAACTCTTCATCTGGTATGGATTTTCTTAGTCTGTGAATGGTGGAAATTTCCTTTTTTTCTTACTAAAAAGGACTGATGAAAAGCACTAAGTACTCCAGTACTGGATGGTGTGGGGTTTTGCATTAAATTTAATATTTTCATTGAAAATATCACTGAGTATATCATCATACACAGAATTTATATTGCCAGTCCTGACTTTCCTGCTTGGCATTTTTGTTCTTTCTCTTTTTTACCCTGATGTTTAGATTTACTTTATATTCTTTATTCTTGGCTTCTTGTTTCTCCATTCTCTTGCAGATTACCCTGCGTGAAAGGGAACATGCTCTGTCCTGCAGCATTTGTATGCACACCCCTTCCAGTAGCAACCATGATTTGTACTGACTTGGACGTATTCAGATGCAGAGCAGACATCTTTGAGACCTTCTGGTCATTTGATATTTTTAATGTTCTGTCCTGCTGCTATATTTCTTCTTTCTTTTCTTATGTTCTTTGTAGGTGGAACTGAAATAGTGAAGAAAATACTTCTATTTGGTTTGTACACTTGACAGCATGTTGGTTCGTTCTTAGGGTTTTCTGAATATTTATCTCAGTTCTTCTTACAAAGTAGGAAGAAAGAAAAAGCATTAGAATAATGTGGTCCTAGAATAGCCAAAGCAAGCAGGGAATGTTGGGTGGATGCAGTATCTTGAAAGAATAGGGTTAATATTTTTATTGTATGTTTTAAGATGATGCTGTCTCTTTAACTAAAGCCTACAAAAGTTTAAGACTAAGTGATGTTTTCATCATGCTTGGTCTTCATTTATGGAATGAACTTTCTTGAACAAAGAGATGTGCCAGTGTGGCTTCTAGGAAGCTGAGTGACTCAGAAATCAGCCACTTCCTCGGGTGGGTCATCTGAATGGGGTAATGAAAGGTTGATTTGTCCAAGTAGATGCAGTCACTTACTGGTGTGGTAAGAAATTCAGATCACTTGGTTACATTCTGTTTGTTTGAAACAGTTTTGCCATTTTGGGAGTTGGCTGTGACCCAGAACAGTTATGCTGGGCATTTGCCAGGTCTCATCCCCTGGAGATCCCAACTCTTAATGCAGTTATCTGCATCCATGCAGGTCAGCCACCGTAAGTTGAGACCTACTGGGAAATCTGAGAAGCTAAGCTGTTTTGCCCCGCTGGTTTGAGTGTAGATAGTTAGTATCACTAAAATGCAGTAGCATTAACTGTGTCTTTCTCCAGCATCCAGCAGGAGAAGCTTCACTGATGCAGACAGCAGCTTCTGATATAGAAAACTCATAGAAGCGAGATTGTTCCAGTAGCAGGTCACTTAGAATAATCTGTGAGCTGGCAGGGCTCAGTTATAGCATGACAGGGGAGTGCTAGGGAGCATTTGAAAAAGTTTGCCATTACTCCAAATGTTTGGGGAAATTATGAGAATTTTGTAGTAGCAGAGTTGGCACATTTACAGAATTGTTGAAGGGTTTTGTCTTTTAGTTTTGCTAATATGACTGTAATCTAAGAATCTAAGGACATTGTTCCAGAGATCCCTTGACCTGCTGAAACAACAGTATGTTTTACCTGTTGCGGGGGGTTGTCAGTCATTTGTGTTGATCATGCAGATTCTCACTGTCTGCGTGGAGGTGATTCAGTTGTGATCTTGGCAAAAAATTAGCTTCCTGCATGGGAAATTGTATGTGCAAGTTTGTAACTAATTAGTACCTAAATGAACTTACTGTTGAATTGTAATTACAATATAACTTCATGCCTACTATGTGGTGGGCACATTAACGACAATTACACGAAGCCCCTCTTTAGTAATATAGTAGAGAGCAATTTGATCCTGATTCCTCTTGCTTTATGCCCTGCAGAGAAAAATAGGAATAAATGGACATCTAAAAAGAGCTCTCAAGATGTGGCCTAGATAACAAGGGCATACAATGTGTATGTATTTGCAGACAAGGAGAGAGCATTCATGCTAAAGAGTATGGTTTCAAAATAACATCCCTCCTGGTGTTGGGGAACCTTGTGTCCTGAAGCTAAACTCTTTTACCTAGTTTAGCTAAAACTGCCTCAGAGTTCACAAGGCCTTGCTTTCAGGAACAGGTATTATATTTGCAGCACACTTTATACAGTGTCTTCTTGTAACAATGAAAAAGTAGAGTGAATTGCTTCTATAAATTAATTCCTCCTACAAAATTAATTGTTATGAAGTTTAATTTTATTCCGTTTATTTCCTTGTCCAGATTATGTTTGGACAGATGCCCTGCTTTGTCTACTGAAACATGAAAAGCTAATAAAAAATATTAAATTATGCACTAGGAACAGGCAGTTAATAAAGCAGACGCCAGTGGTGGTGTTTGAGGCAAGCTAGAGTAAAATACTGGTACAGGAGGGAGACTGCTTGTTGTAGATATTTTATTTTTCGAAATCTGAACAAATAAGTGGAAGTACCTAAGGAAGAAACGTTATTAAAAAGTTGGCCAAGATACTACACAGAGTTTGGGAGTATTCTGTGATGTCTAATTGAAGGATGTATGTGCATAGAATAAGGTTTAAACTGCGGTTCTGTACAATTACTTCTTGCAGATTTGGTGATATGAAGAACAGTTTTCTTGTTTGCCTGAAGTAAAAGCCAAGCTGACCTGTCACTACAAATGGACGGTTTTTCAAAGATGAGGCTTGGTGGAGCAGCTTCTTGGTATCTCAACTATGGAAGGCCAACTTTGTGCTAATGTGGACATTTCTATGAAAAAGCCTCCAGGAGCAAGCCCTTGGTCCTTCATTGCTTTGCTGAAGGTACACCGAGAGCTTCTGGTCGGTAGGATCCGAAACACACAATGTTTGATTGATAACTTGATTAAGAATGACTACTTCTCCACTGAAGATGCAGAGATCGTTGTCCAGTTTCCTACTCAAGCAGATAAGGTATAACTTTCTTTTTTTTTCTCTAGCCAGTGAAGTTTTTGGTTACTTTCAGTTTATCACCAGATTTTAAGGGTTTATCTGACAATTTTACATCTAGTGTGTTGACTAATCTTTGTTATTTAGGAGTTTTCCCACCCTATTCTTCCTGAATGAGCGTCTCCAGCACATCCCTTTCCAGCAAGGCTGGCACTGCTGGTTATGCCCTTGGCAGCTATAAGAACTTAGGGTGATAATTGCTGTTCTATCCCTGCCAGCTGCAGCTTTGTCCTGTGATAGAGAGGTGGCCACATGGTTGTTAGAGTATAGCAAGGAAAATCTGCTTTAGGATGCTGTGGGACAGATCATCCTGCTTTAGGAGAGGCAGAAATGAAATGCTGTTTTAGAAGTTAATGATTGTCTGTTGTCTGTATGAACATGTTCCTTTCTCTTGAAAGACCTATGTATGTTGTGAATGTTTCTATGGAAGATTCATGTATCCTGGCATATTTGGAGTTTTAATTCATCTTTAGACATCAGTAGCAAAAATTATTTCCTTTTGTTAGGAGAAAATTACTGTGCCTACAGTTGGTCTTTGCATCATAACTTGAAACAGCTGAGGAGATTGTTTCCCACACCAACCAATCAGGCAGCTTCAGAACCCTGTCACAGTTAGGGGCAGGCAAACCATAAAAAATTCAAAGCCCTTGGACTTCACCAACAGTGCAGATTTTCATAAAATAATCATTCTTGCTAGCATGTTGAAATGGTAACACAGTGCTCACACTGTGTGTAGTGTCAAAGCTGAATAAATGCACTCTGTATGATTATCTCAATTTTTTATTGTTCAGCATAATATGCATGGTTGTTGACCAAAGCTGAGGGTGAGGCCATGCATCAGGAGTCTAAGCAGAGACAGAGAACAGGCCACAGTAGTGTAAGTGAAGTGGACTCTGTGGGAGCTTCTCTGGAAGGCATAAAATTGCTTTTTAGAGCATACAAATTGGCAGAAAAAGCTCCATGTGTTTGCTGTGCTGCATGTACATCACCCTGATTTAAGTTCACAAGAGACCACAGTCTCTGCAAACCCTTTGGTTTAGAACTGCATTCTTCATTCATTTCTAGCAAGGCGATCCTGATATTCAAAATGTGCCCCTGGATGACTGCTCTGTCTTGAAGAAGGTTTTGTACTAGGACTGCCTTGTACTGGTGCACAGAGATCACCCCCTGCCTTGCCTGTGGAGGTGACACTTTGTGCTGAACTGCTCCAGCCACTGCCTGGTAGCCATTAGTTTTGGTAATAACTGCAGGCAGTGGGGCCATTGTACAGAGAGAGCCTGGAGAATTGAGTTGCTGTGTTAGAAGGAGAAGTTGTAGGGTTTTGGCTCAGTGTTAAGATCCAGGGAGGGGTTCAGCCTACCCTGCTCTGGACCTGGCTGGAACCTGAGGTAAATCCAGATGTGACTGGAGTATTTACAGAACAGAGGATGAATTTAGGGCACTGAGAAACCCCCTATATTTTCGTTTTAAGCAGCACAGGATTTTAAAATACACTATCTAGCCAAGCTGAGGAAATCCTTTGAGTTCCCTCTTGAGGAGTGGTATTCATCCATTTTGTTTCTGATTAGTGTGATTGAGCTACAAGTTCAGACCTTAACTTGCAGAACCAACTCTCTTGCAGTATTCAAACACAAACAGCAGTTGAGTTTTGTGATGGTTCCAATTCAGAGCTAGGTTTTGATTTCACCTTTTTGAAGCACCAGTTTTGATTTTGGCCACTTGCACCAGTCCAGAAAGGATCCTAAAGCAGTTGACAAGTATTACTGTGATAAAATGCTGTGTATCAATGACCTTTCCTGGGGTGTTTCTTCAGGTTCGCAAAATTCTAGACTTGGTTCAAAGCAAAGGAGAAGAAGTTTCAGAATATTTCGTCTATGTCCTGCAGAAAGTCACTGATGCTTACTATGAACTTCAGCCTTGGCTGGATGAAATAGGTTACGAGCCTTCAGAGAATATTTGTAGTAAACCTGTGGTAAATACAGATCCAGGTAAGGTCATCTTTCTCTGTCCCTTCCTACAGAACTGCCCTGCTATGTAGGAAGCTCCAACCAAGTGACAAGAAAGTAAGAGTTTAGGCAGGCACAGCCAGGAAAAATAAATGTATGCTTGCTAGCAGTGGTAGCCAAAATAAAAAGCACACTGTATAACACAAGGGTGATGTTGATAAATTACATCCTGTTTTGTTAGACTCAGGTGCTTTCTTTCATTTGTTTGTGGGTATGTAACACAATGGCAAAAACAACTTGTGCCAGCTGTAGTATTTTCTACAATTTCATAGCAACACTGTGATGTTTTGGCTATGGGCTGGCGGGTATTTCATGACGGGAATGGTCAAGCAATGAGATGGGTTGCCTAGGGAGGTTCTGTGCTTGAGGGTTTCCAAGATCCAACTAGGCAAAGCCCTGAGTAACCTCATCTGATGTCAGAAGTGATCCCATTCTCAGCAGGAGGTAGGACTAGACCTTCTGAAGTCCCTTCCAACCAGAATTATTCTGTCATCCTAAATGATGATTTTTAGCAACCCTAAGAATCAGAGTTTAAGTATCACAGAAATTATTTCCTCTGGAGAGGTTTTTCCATACTACAAAAATATAAGAATTACTTTGTCCCCATCTGAAGCAAAGTTTCTGTTGAAAACCACAAGCCAACATTGCACAATAACTGAGATTCTCTTTTTTTTTTGTCATCTTAAAAAATCTTTTGAGGTGCCTGGCATTTGATTTCTAAAATGCATGGCTTCTATTTGCAATAATATAAATGACTGAAGAAGTTAGGCAAGAATAACCACCTACCTGATAGAACTGCAGGTGGAATATAAGTACAGTGAAATAAGTGACCAACAACTCCCACAAGCCTTTGTGGAGAGTTAAGCAGCCTTTAACAAAGGGTCAGGGGCTTGGCTTTGAGTCTCAGCTGAAGGATAGCAGCCCCTTAAACCAATGCAGCATCAGTACTGACTTTCAGGAATTGGTGTCTCACATGTGACCTTTCTTTAGCACCTGAATTTCCCAAGTGAGTGATGATGGCAGCACAAATAGAATTAATCTGCCAAAGAACCCTTTTCACATTATTTTGTTTATTACCCTCTCTGAGTTCCCAAAGAGGTGGGTCATTGCATACATAAGTTTTTTAATAAAGTCTCTTTAATAATAGTCCACTTTTTAGTTAGCAGGTATTGCCAGAAACTCAGACATGAACTGGGACGAGACTCCAAGTTTGTTATGTTGTATGCTCAGAAGGAGGAGATGCTGCTTGAAGAAATCTACTCCAACAGTATTATGGAACTGGTCAGTTTTACCAATGAGAGTCTTGGCCATGTGGGTCAAATAGAAGCCCTTTTTGATGATTCAGTTGGGCTAATTAATGAAGATGGAGAGACTGTTTATGTCTACGGTGATGCAGGAATTGGAAAATCCATCTTGCTGCAAAAGATACAAAGCCTTTGGGCCAGAAAAGAATTGGACATAGGGGCCAAGTTTTTCTTCTGTTTTCGGTGTAGGATGTTTAGCTGCTTCAAGGAAGATGAAGCCATATGTTTGAAAGACCTGCTCTTCAAATATAATTGCTACCCAGACCAGGACCCTACAGAAGTGTTCCATCACATCTTGCAGTTCCCCCATACAGTTCTTTTCACTTTTGATGGCTTTGATGAGATCTATTCCAACTTTGATCTCAGCAGCGTACCTGAGATATGCTCACCCAATGAACGCATCCACCCCCTGGCACTGCTTGTAAGCCTTCTCAGAGGAAAGCTTCTTAAGGGATCCAAGAAAATTCTTACTGCCAGGACAGGAACTGAAATCCAAAAAAACATCATTAGGAAGAAAGTGTTGCTCCGCGGTTTCTCCAGGAATAACCTGAAGGAATACACAGCTGTGTTTTTCAAAGATGAGCGGCAACGAGCACTGGTATCAAACCAGTTGGAAGCTAACCCAAATCTCTGCAGTTTGTGTTCAGTGCCTTTATTTTGCTGGATTATTTTTAAATGCTTTGAGCACTTCCACTCCATGTTTGACAGCCATGAGCTTCCAGACAGTTCTGTTACATTAACAGATGTATTTTTGCTCATGATTGAAGTCCACTTGAATCGATCTACAAAAACAAGTTTGCTGAAGAGCAATATCAGGAGCCAAGCAGAGATGTTCAAATCAAGAAAGGAAAGTCTTTTAGCTTTGGGTAAAATGGCATACAAAGGGATGGAGAACTCTTCCTTTATCTTTGAGCAGGAGGAAATCTCATCGGCAAACATCTCTGAAGAAGATTTGCAATTGGGCTTTCTCAGGACAGTTAAAGGTTACAGTGGCTGTGACAGTCAGGCCACTTATGAGTTTTTGCACTTAACCCTCCAGTCTTTTTTCACAGCTTTGTTCTTGGTTATGGAGGAGAAGGTGGGTACCAAGGAGTTACTTGAGTTTTTCAATGAATGTTCTTCCATGGAGACTGCCCAGCCTACTTGCCTTCGTATCCCCTGGTTGAAGAAACAACTAGCAGGGGAGGATCCTTTCCAAAATAAAGAACACTTTAATTTTACCAACATGTTTCTTTGTGGCCTACTTTCTGGATCCAGGCAGAAGCTCTTCAGACATTTAGTTTCACCTGCGGTCATTAAGAGGAAGAGAAAAATTCTCATCACATATCTTGGGAAGAACATGAAATCCCACCTGAAAGGCTACACTCGGTCCAGGCTTAAAAGCTACAATCAGGTGCAGGTGCAGCCCAACTTTGTGTGGATGCTGAGGTGCCTGTATGAGACGCAGAGTGAGAAGGTGGGGAGGATGGCAGCCCGCCGCATGCACGCCAACTACATCAAGCTGGCCTACTGCAACGCCTACTCTGCCGACTGCAGCGCCATTTCCTTTGTGGTGCACCACTTCCAAAAGCGCCTGGCTCTGGATCTGGACAACAACAACATCAATGACTATGGAATAAAACAGCTGCAACCTTGTTTCAGCAAGCTTGCAGTGATCAGGTAGGAGTCTCTGTATGTAAGCAGGTCCTTGTGCATTCTTTGTTTATTCCACAAACTGATGGGCTGAAGGATTTGATCTCGCAAGTGGAGAAAGACAAGGATCAGTCTGCTGGAAATTAATGTTTCAGATCTTCTGAAATCTTTGTTCATTTAGCTACAGGAGCAGAGATAAGCTGTGAATTTGGAAACCAAAATGGAAAGGGTAGTAAGAAGTCCTTAGAAGCACAGACTGTTTAAACCTGTAGGTTTAGTTAGCTCCATCTCAAATTGTTTGGTCTCAGAAGAGGATTTTTATGAGAGAAGGTTCTTAAGGGAAAAAGGAAACATTAGGGCATCCTCCATTATCTGAAGATTGCCGAGACTATCTCTGTCCTTGGTCATAAGGGGTAAGGGAGGATCTCCCATTCACAATAACCCTTAATCAGAAGCTCTGAATTTCTTGTTTTTGCATCCTGTCAAAATGTCTGGCTTTCCTAGGACAGAAGCTAACATGTACATCCATGAAAGGATGTAGTTGGCACATTCAGATATGGTGTTTCCCTGAGGTGGTGTGAAGGGAGGACATGGCTTGGTGTGAACAGGGAGAACTAAATCCACCTCTAGCATCACAGGCCAGATTGTTTCGTCTCCAGCCCTTTGAGGTTGAACCATGTAGCTATATCTTATTTGTCCAAACATTCAGATGCAGAAAATCAGGAACTTCATAGGTATCTTTTTTTAATCTCCTTCAGCTGCATGAGAATTTTTTTTAACAACTGGATTTACTCCTCCTGTTTGGCTGTGCTTGCCTTGTTTTCCTCTAGGAATAAATCAAAGCCAGTGGCTCTTGTTTTTTTCCCAGTTGTTTGCAAATTGACTGATCTCCCAAGAGAAAGCAATAAGGAAACTCCTGGGGAAAATGTATAAGTACTTAAGACAAAACAGAGAAGGCCAGCCTTTCATTCTTTGTGCCTGTCGTATGATCATGCAATACACGGTGTGATCCTAACACCATCCCCACCACCAAAACAGTCTTTTAGGTTGCCCTTCTGTCTTTATGGATCTTCAGATGTTGGAACTTTTATGTCTAATGAGCAATTTCTGCAGGTCAGGAAATGTTGTTTCCAACAGCTGAACTATCCCTTTCAAGGAAGCAGGCTGTTCTGATCTGTAGAAATTGACTGATCTCTCCTGTGTGCTGGTGCATTCCAAAGGGACCAGGTTAAGTAGGAAAGGCTAGGGAGGCTGTTGGCGATAAAGGACACTCAGCATCTTCAGCTACTGAGTTTGTGTGCAGACTAAATGTGGTCAAAATATTTTCATTACCCAGAAAATATGATTCATGGCAATTGGAAAGCTTCACTTGAACCTGTCCATTTAGTGAAGGAAAAGGCTTGAGAAGTTACAAAAAAAAAAAAAACCAAACCAAAACAACAACAACAACAAAAAACCCATTCCAAAACAACTGTGAGAAGCATTTTTATTCTGTGATGACTGACATTGATTTGTTTCATGTCTGGCTGGGACAATAAAATTAGAAACATCTAGCACACCCATGGGAGCACAGTTCTCTTTTCTGGCCAGGGCTTTACATAACCTTTATTTGGTGAAGGCCAAATGTGCTGTGACTTTCAAGATGCCTGGCTTTCACTATGTACTCAGAAGATTGCAAGACTAGTAGTATGGACAATGTGCTTTTGCGGGGTGTTGAGCAGACTTTTTCCTGAAATCACAGTAAGCACAGGAGGAGGGTGAGATGTTTATCTGGAGTCTGACTTCCTACATTTTATTGTTCTCAGTTCCATGGACAGCTTCCAGAGCATTACCTAGGAGATCTGGGGCTTTCTGATTTTTATCGGTTTTGGAGTGAGCCACATGAAGCTGAGCTTACATTTCCCTTAACAGCTTTTACTATGTGGCATAAGGACCTGTTAAAATATCAGAGAAAAATGCATAGGCCTCCAGTCATTCGTTAACTCACGGGTTATGAGCATTTGTAAGATGTATTGATTCAGATATTTCATTCCCTTCTTTCCAGGCTCAGTGTAAATCAGGTCACAGATCATGGCGTAAGGATCTTGTATGAAGAACTCTCCAAGTACCAAATTGTGTCTTTCTTGGGGTATGTACCCAGCTGGGAGCTAAACACTCAGCAGTGATACTAGAAAATAAAACTCTAATGCTGTCAGTACTGACATAACAGAGGTGGGGTGGAAATTACAGTTACCTCCTCATTTAATCAAAGCAGCTTTTTGTGTCAGAAATGATTCTGTAACAGTTCACTGGGACAAGGACCACAGCTTCTTCTCCCACCACACTCCCTTACAGCCTTCTGTGACAGTGTGGACTACTGTCAGGTTACTGAACTGTGTGAGCATGCTAATTTTTATACCAAAAGCCTTCTGCTCTGGAAGGGATAGACTGCAAGCAAGAGAGCATGTGTAGTTACAGCCTTCTGTTTTCTCTAGTGTAAACTGATTTATTTCAACTATGCAAAGCAGATACAGCTTGGTAGAGAGTGGTGTCAGGAACACACAGTTTCAAGTATCATGTTCATGATACTAATTTCTTTCAAGAGCTTAATTAGTTCTTAATGAAGCTGAATCTGGAAGGCACATTAGCTCTGACTTCCTCTCTTGGTTAAGTAGCTACATAAAAATGACTTTTTGAAAGGTGAACATGAATACCAAGAATAGGTTTCTTCATCCAGTGCCCTAATGTAAGTACAACTTCTCAGGTATCTGCTCTTCAGTAATATTTGCAAGGGGATTTTATGACTTTTAAAAGAGCAAAAGTACATTATGGTGTTTTGTCTTTTGACTTCTGGCAATATTATTTCTGTACTAGCACAGGAATAAAGGGAAGCTTTATTTGCTTGTGGAGACCATTTATTTAAAATATATATATATAAATATTCATGATTTGCAGTCTGGTCTCCGTATATTTTATATCTAGCCCATCACAATATGAATTATATATCAAAACAAAAATACAAGCAACTATGAATATGTACAAAGCTGTACAGAAAAGACAGATGCTATGTGTGCATCATAAAGCATTCAGGTTGTAAATATTTAACAGCAGTAATAACCTATTTTTACCAATGTGATTTTTCTTTAAGCTTATACAACAACCAAATCACTGATGTTGGAGCCAAATATGTTGCAAAACTAATTGAAGAGTGTTCAAGCCTGGAATATGTTAAGTATGTTGGATTTTTTTTCCCTTCTGCAGTATCCTAATTAAGGTAAAGCGACTTGAAAAGGGAGGAAGAGTAGAAAAAAAAGACAAAAATTGTATTTGAAATAAAATATAATTTAGGTTGCAGTTGTGTATTTGTTTTGCAGTAGTCTAGCAGTGGATGGCAGCAGGTGAAACTCTTGAATCCATAGTATTTTCTGGAATATAGTAGTGAGGTAAAAGAGTGCATGAGACCTGTTCTTTACCTAAATCCACTCTGACCACCTGAATGAGGCTTAAGTTGTGCATGGACTTTTCTACTGCTTCCAGCAGGCAAATTCTCTTGGATTTAGTACCAAGCTTTTTAGTGTCTGATTTTTTATGGGCCACAAGGGTCAGGCTGTGCTGGTGTCATACCTCAGCTCTGGAATTTCCCAAATTAATTTGGTGAGTTGTTCCCTTTAATTCCTGGAACTTCCCCAGATAAGAGTGTCTGGCCATGCACATTGGTTGGACATAAAGGTAGATCATTAACCAATGGTTTAATTGTGACCATAGCAGAAACCAGAGGTAACTGCAGCAATGTCAGGTTTTGGTGGGAACAGGCAGCCAGGGACTCTTCAGTTCTAGTCCCTGTTCTACCACTGACTTGGTCTGAGACACTATCCTTCCTACACACATCCTTCCTACTTGAAATTTTTGCAGAATTTTGAAACCCAGGACCACTTAGTTCTTTCACTGCTTTGACAGTGTTTTGCTTATTTAATGTAGCTTTCACCAAAAAAAAGCCTGTTGAAAGATGGTTGCTTTCAGGCTGCATAGTAACCCTAGAGATTATTTTGAGATAGAGTGCACATTCATGTGCTCAAAGTCAGCCGGTTTTATGTAGAAAGTTTTATGTAAATGCAGTGGCTTGGAGGGGCTTGGGAGGGAATTGGGGGTTTCATCTGTTCTTTAAATCAATCTATAAGCAATTATCTCTCCCTTGAACTCCAGCCATTTGATACCCACATAGGCCAAAAATAGAAAAGGCCTTGTGTAAAATGCCAGCCAGAGACTGACTGCTGCATTGACCTATGCCACTGCCCAGAGCTTGTGCTTACAAGAGAAAGACTTGAAATTATTACAGTCTATGCTTATCAGCTGCAGTCTCTTCTGGAAACACACAGTCAATAAATATTCTGTTCCCTGTGGCATCATAACACATGCTGCATGTAATTCATGAGCTCTGTAGCAATTGCTGATACTATAAATTATATTAAAAAGAAGGCTGGGGTCCTTGCCCTGAGGATCAGTTCCTAAAGCTCATTTCTAACATACTGAGCACCAAAGCCAACACTCTACTGCAATACTTCTGATTTGGAGGGCTGACATGCAAAATATGCAAAAGACAACATAAAATTATGTCTTTTAGTCAAAGGTCAAGTGCCTGCAGTATTTTTTTCACTCTGGGTTAATCTTTGGTAACTGCAGGTAGCCTCCAGAGTTAATTAGCCTTAAATACTTGTGTGGCTTTCTGAACTGGTGTTCTGATAGCTGCACAGCTGTAAGTGATGCACCTCATCAATTTATGTATTTTGTGCAGAATAGGAGCAAACAAAATAACGAGTGAAGGAGGGAAGTGCCTTGCCCAGGCCATCCAGAAGAGCAAGACAATGTTTGAAATTGGGTAAGTTCGGTGCTAAGGAGCAGAACTTAGGGCTTGATCTTGGCCAGACACCTATAAATGCCTTAGGATTCCTTTTTTTCATGCTTACCTTCTCTCCTGCTATTCCTTCCCTCTTCAACAGCAGCATTCAAACAAATGAGTGTAGGGGATAGCCACATTTTCCATGGAAAAGGTGGGCTGCTTTGTTGTTCTTCAGTTCACACAGTGTTTGGGTTTTGGCATCTTGTTTTTTTGCTTTTTCACTGATCTTAAAGGAGAACCTTAAAGGAGAAACAAATAAACAAGAAGACAGTATGTAGTTAGCCATTTTCTTTATAGCAGCACACCCCTCTAGAGATACTTGGTTATTTTTGTGTGGTTTTATGACAACTGGCACTGCATCTAGCATTGAGTGTCATTGTTACAACTGTCAAACCTTCTGCATCACATCCTGATAAAGTTGTGAGCTGGGAGAATAAAAGGGAATTCACATCATCCTTTTCTCTTAGGCTGTCCCTAACTGCAAAGTGCTATTATTGGAGAGAGGTCTGAATGTACTCCAAACCTTTAGTTCCTGCCCTGTTTCTCAGGAAAGGGTTTGATTTATCAAACCTATATCTAGGTTTGATTTATTTTATTTATTTCCCCTCCTTCTGGAAAATCCCAGTTTCTCTTTGCAGTCTACAGGAGAACACATTTCTTAAAATTTAGTACTTGAGTACATGGAATTAAAACCTCTGCTTAGCCATTGTGAAAATCACAGTAGCCATGAAACATGAGAATCGGATTTGTACAATCAGATTTTTGGCCTTTACTTTTGTTCTACAACATTTCACAAATATAGTGAGCAACCTGCACACTTTCATATAGCTGGATCTGCCGTGCTTTACTTGCTGTAATTTCAGTGAAGGACTCGTGGGTTTTTTTGTATAAGAAATGATCACTCCAAATGGACTTAGGATAGCTTGGACAGGAATGTTTAAATAGCAAACTGCACTGGCTCTGAAGGACAAGGAAATTCTGGGGAGCTTACTGGAAGTCCATGTGTTTAGATACCACAGAGCTCAATTGATTTTAAAAGAGCTGCCAACTAATTACCCATAAGCTGAGCACGGCTCTGAGTCATCAAGCCAGGATCCCTGCAAAAAACCCAACATCTCAGACCTCAGCAGAGGTGTTTTCAAACCTCATAATATAGGGTGAATTTTTGAAGTGATTTGTCTGCATAGAAAGTATTTGACCAGATACTTCTAGTAAACATTGATCAAATCTCTCCAGCTTGCACCATGTTATCTTCTCTCACAAAATAACCCTTTGTGTAACCAAGGGTTGTTTTGCCACTGGAAATGCAATAGCACCTTACCAATGTGCAGCAAGGTGATCCCAAAAGCACTCCTGCTGCAGCAGGCTGTCTCCTAGAGCTGCCTCTGTGCTGTGGCCTGAGGGTGCTGGTGAGTCAGCTGAGGTTACTGGTGCGATGTGCAGGGAGTGGAACAAACCTGCCTCAGTGGAGAGGGTACCTGCCAGGTTTCTCACAAGCCTGAAAGACTGTGAAGTAATCAGGAAGGAGGGGAAAGAAACAGGGAGAATGCATTACCAAGAGTCAGTAGGGAGCACAAATGATATCTTCTGTTCTCTTTTCACTAGGATGTGGGGTAATCAAGTTGGAGACGAAGGAGCAAAGGCATTTGCAGAGGCCCTGAGGAACCACCCCAGGTTAACAAACGTGAGGTAAAACACCAGCTGTGCCAGGCAGCTCGGTATAGTGCTGGCTTTTCCATCCTGCTGTGAAGCAGTGACTCTTCCCACCAAGTGTTGTCCTGGAATGCCGTTTGGTATTGCAGTCTTTGCTGTGCAACCAAGAGGTCTCTGGTGCAAGCAAGAGGCCAGACTCTGTAAAAAAACTCTGTGCAGCCTTTAGGCCAGTTAAAAATACCACAGGACTGGCATCCTTTCCTCTATGTACACCTCCTCCCCTCATGCTGCATAGAGTTCTGGCACTTGTGAAGGCACATGGTCAGTGGGTGCCATTTTGATCTGGGAGCATTAGCAGAAGGAGGCACCAGCTGTCGCAGAATCAGGTTCCCAGTGAGCTCATTATTAACAGTTTCTATTGAGAACATGCAGCAGCTCTTACCAAAGTACTTTTTAGGCCATAATGTGTTTGGGTAGGGGCTGGGACATTCTTACAGTTGGGCTTCTCCTGTGCTCCAGTGGAGCTACACCACCACACATTCAGCGCTAGTGAGATGACCTCACTGCAGTTCTGGGATGGATCTCAGACCAGCCTTCTGGAATCCATAACACAGGTGAGGTTGGAAGACCAGCAGGGGCAGAAGTCAGCAGTGTTAAAACAGTCCATTCCCTGCTAGACTTTCAAATGCTGGCTGGGAATTTAAAGATGTTTTGGAGTCCCTCCACACAGCTGGAGCACTGGGTTAATGGGTTTCCATTTGTCTCCCAGTTCCACTGGCCTCCACAGGGAGGGAGCAGGCAAGGCTCCTTAGTTTCCCCACAAGGTGGCACATGGCACTAGTTTCTTCAGAAATACTCTGGGAGTTCGGGGATCTCTGGAGAGTTTATTGCTGCCACTTCAGATCCAGGGATTTCAGAGCTGGTGCCTTGTCCTCTTTTCTGCGAGCAAGTAGTCAAGCTTAAAAATTAAAAACTGAACAGGTGCAGTGACCTAGATATATTTAAACTTAAAAGCCATCTGAAATAGCCATCTTCCCATAATTGCTCAATCCATCCAGACACATCAGACTTGAAAGAAAACATTTTGAGGTTGAATCAGAGCTCAGGATTCTCAGACGAGAGCAAATATGCTGATGAATGTGTTTGCAGAAATAAAGAGGAGCCACTGTGCTGTCTCGAGCTCAGGTTTGCTGGCATTTGTGCAAGGTGAATCCTCTGCTCTGCAGTGTACTTGCTCTTAGGTTCATTTCTTATCTCCCGCTGGCTAATCTTGCTCCATGATTTGAATTCATAGTAAGCACCTGTGGTAGCTTTATGTGAAGACCAAGGGAAGATAATCCCTACCACACCAGTTTACTTTATCTGCCATTTTTAGGCCAGTCATGATGGACAGAGAATATCCAGTTTAAGCTGAAGCTAGGAGTGACTCATACATATTTGTACCATTGCTCTACATGGTTCCTCTTTCTGTCTTTTCTGAGGCCTTGCATTATTTTGAGGGGGGAGATGCTTTTTGAACTCCAAAAGCCCAGAGCTTAACTTTAACTGGATGATTTTGCCAATGTCTATTCAAAGAATGAAAGGCAGAATAAGAAATGTTTGTGGTTTGTAATGGAAAGCATTTACAAGCTCATCTCTCCATACACAACAGAAGGTGTTGTACTTGGAAGAAGAATGAAGTATTTGGATCCCTGAAGCACTTAAAGGACAAAGTGCCCAGTTTGTACAGGGATGACAAATGCATGTAAAAACCTGAGTACTGCTAAGCGCAACTCTTTGTCCTTGTTAAAAGCCTTAACTCTTAAAAATACTGGGTGCAACTCTGCTGTCAGCCCCAAGAACACAACTCATTGACAGCAAACCTTGTGAACTCTGTGACAGACCTGCACTCAGGCTGCAGTCTGTGAACTGCTCCCAGTTGTAAAAGTTGTAGGGGCTCGGTGGTTTGTGAAGTATATGAGCCTTTGAAACACACAAATGCTGAGCTATCAACTAGGAGGCAGATAATCCAGGATATTCCCTTGTATTTGGCAGTGGGAGAGCCAAGTGGTGCTGCTTCTTAGACATTTGTATCTTTACTTCACAGTCTTGCATTCAATGGCATCACAACAGAGGGAGGCAAAAGTATTGCTGAAGCCATGCAACACAACAACTCCGTGAGGATATTCTGGTAATTGACAGTGTGGTCTCTTTTTCCTCTGCTTCCTTTCCCAGAGCAGAATACTGTCTTATGTCCTCCAGTCCCATCACCCTTCCTACTCTCCCCTCTTCCTTCTCTCCCTGCCCTCATCCCCTACGCTTTTGCTATCAGCAAGCTATAAGATATCCCTTTGGAAGAATGTGGACATGAGTAATGGATCAGCAGTACTGTCTTTTGGGATACATTCCAGTGACCCAGTGTCATGCTTCACTCTGCTCCCTCCATCTTGCTTTCCCCATCTTCTCTCCATCATCTGAAGTCAAGTTCTTTGTTCTCAGTTTTTGCACCTCTTCAATGTTCTCTGTACCTTTTCTCACTACACCCTTTTAGACACTAAAGCATCATGAGAAAGTATCACTAGAACATTGCTCAGAGAAGTAAAGGTCTGATACTCTTGTCTCTTTTACCTCCAGGGCTTCTCTTCAGTATTTCTTTCAGTGTCCAGCCTTTGCAAATTGCTCAGGGCAGGAACAGCACATCCCCCTTTGGCTGTCTAAAGCTGTCACAGACAAGCTGCAAAAACAGGGGTCTGAAAAATAGTGTCAGCATCCTAAGTGAACATTTTCTCTCCCACTTAGGTTGACTAAAAACGAGCTGGATGATGAGGCAGCAGTGAGTTTTGCAGAGATGCTGAAGGTCAACAAGAAACTGGTGCATTTGTGGTGAGTTACATTCCACAGTGGCACAGGCTCTTTGGCAGTCACTACATTAAAGCTTCACCTTCCAAGTCTATGTAGGTCACAGTAACAGCTTCTGTGCATGGTCTGGATGCAGCTGACTGCTTGTAGACAGTTCTAATGGGAAGTTAATAAAGCTGCTGTCTAGCATTTGGAACCTGCTTTCATACAGGGAAAGTTCAAGCTGTTTCTGGTAACTTTCAAACTAATGATTGATTCCATCTCTTGTTAGGGGAACAGTACTGGCCTCAAAATCAAAAGTTTCAAAAAAGACCAAACAAAAATAACCCCAAGCAGATAGTTACAACAGAATAAGGTTATTACAATTCTTTCTGTGTATCATCATGCTATGAAAGCAACTCTTCAGCCAAGAACCTACATGGCAGACACTCAAATACATGTCGCATTTGCCCAATGCTTTCTTTTGGGGCTAGCAATACACTGATGCAAGACACTCATCTCGAAGGCATCAATCCCCAGGAAACCAGAGATTATTTCTAGCAATCGCAGTGAGACTTCTTACACTTCTAAGGACAAGCAGTATTGGCTTTTCTAATCCAGAGGTTGCCAGTGGATGGGGTTGGGCAGATGTGTGCTGTAAAAGGAATAGCCATTCATTCATTTCAAGTGATCAAGGGAACATCAGACATGGAGTCCCTTTACATGCTTTACAAAGACTTGGCTGACCACACTCTAGCACACTCCCTGTGTTAATCGTAGTTCCATCCCCTTAGGAAGCATGCTGGCTGTCATGGGTGCCAAGTACTCTTAGCCTCTTTTGAAAGCAGCAGAAGCTGTGGTGCCCATCACCCTGGAAATGAAAAGGCGGTGGGGGAAGTGCTTGATTTCTTTGTGCACAGCTGCAGATACAATTCACTGAGCAGTTTGGGTTGAATTCATAATAAAACTTACCCCAGCCAAAGCAGGCATAGTAATGGAGATAAATGTCTTTGTCATGGCTCAGTATTGTCCAAGGGTGTCTGCCAGTGGACAAATTCATATCCTGCTTTGTTGATTACATCAGTGGATGCCTCCAAAAAGTAGTGACCTATATAAATAGTTAAACTTGAGGCCAAGTTAAAGCCTTTTTCCAGTAGCTGAAAGATTCTACTGGATCCCTTCGCATTTTGATTCATATACCAAGTGCAGAAACTCCTTTGATGGGAATGCCTCCTTCCCTCCCTCCCTCCCTAAGAGATTGTTCAATACAGTCCAGTTTACAGCCTCATCCTGAATCCTGAGGGATTCATGCAACCAGTCACATGGAATGTTACAGTTATGGGGCTCACCATGGTAGACTGAAAGGTGAGTATTGAATTAAGCTAGGCTCATGCAGATGAGTGGCCTTTGTTCATCTTTAGCTAGTGGGATGGTCTACAACGGTTAATAAGAGTTGCCTACTGCTTCATCAGTTTCACTGCTTAAGGATCTTATGTATGTTTTTTTTTCTTCCCTAAGCTCAGATGAGACATAATTTATAGCTGGTAAGTTGGCTTCAATGGGACTTGCATCTGCACGTACCAGAGTCAAAATCAGTGCTTTATTTTTCAAAGATCTTGTTGGTCTGATAAGCAAGACTGGAGGATTTGGCAGCTTCTAAATCATAATTGCTAAAACACTAGGTCTACACAGGGTCTGTACTCAGAATTTTCTGTACATCACTTCAAAATGTCTCACAGTCTTCTAAGTAAGAAAGCAGAGCTGAGAGGTTTGTCTGTCTCAGTCCAAATATCACAATCCCATAGCACTAGTGAAGAGTTCATGGCAGAAAAAATTTGTAGCTTTGTAATTAAAATTACTCAGTATCTCCAGAATGCAAGCACATGCAAGATTAAAAGGAAAAGATTAATACTCTGAGCTCTGTTTCTGAAAGTTCATGTGGGGCATTTGACCAATATTGTGTACCATTCTCGCAGATAAAATCACAGTAATTTTCTTGTGGCAGACAGCTTTGCTCCTTGATGTCAAGCTGAGCATAGGTTGTACATGTGCTGCAAATTAGTTTGCATGTTAGATTGACTTGAAATGCTTTTTTTTTAGGCTTATCCAGAATCAAATTACAGCCAAAGGAGTGAAGTGCCTCAGCGAAGCTCTCAAGGAGAACACGACTATTCAAGAAATCTGGTAAAGGTCCCTTTCTCAAAGGCTTGCTTTGTAAACTTTCTTTCCCTTTAAAACCCTACTGGCCTTGCTACTTCCCAGCCTAAAAAATTCAGAGCAAGTTTATGTGAGGTAGGGGTTGTAGTTCCAGCTGTGGATTTCTAACAGGTAAAAAGCCACTGCCATTGAAACATCTCTTTGTCTGTTATGAATGTCAGGCAGTTTTCGTGGTTCACTTTGTCTGTACCATTGATTTGCAGAACGTGTGTGTTTGCAGAATCAGCACCTGAATTTATAGACCAAGTTTTGCTTGTTATTTTTATTTTTAAACTTCTGAACATGTTCATGCTTTTCAGGACCTAAATGGCAAACAAGCAGGAGATGGTTACCTTTAATCAGCATTACTAGTCTGGTTTGCCGAATTTGTGCTTGGATTTTTTTGGGTGGTGCTCCAAACCTACTGAAAGTGCTAAGCTACAAGGAGTTTAACTTTTTATAGGATTTGTTTGTTTTAGATTAGGTGGGCATCACATAGTCACACCAGTATATTTAAGGCAGAAAACCAAATACCACATTCCTTCCCTCGCCTCAGGGAGCTCAGGAGTCAATAGAACTGGGCTGGTTTTAGCACTGCTGCTTTATTATTGAACATGAAATTTATTTTTAAATATATGTATTTGTTTTAGTGAAAGGACACTGAATTCTTGCTTAGAAAGACAATGACTCACTGTCTGACTAGTGTGTTCCCTGGAGATGTGGAAGAGGTACTTTTTTCAAAAGGCACTGTCAGCTTTTGTCTATAGAAGAGGCATCAATTCCCCCTCAGGTCATTCTGAATCTTCAGACTGAAATCTGTCTATTGATTCTGGACTGAATGTTCAGAGGCATTAATTAAACCCAAGTAATTTCATAAATCTGAATGGTTTAATGTATTTCAACATTTCTGAGAGCAGAACTTAACCAGGCTGCTCATTTTCAGGGGTGTAAGTATCAAGGTAGATTATATAGCCAGAATTGAAAATTTTGCTTTTGGTCATTTCATGTTAATAATGCCTGAGTATTCCACAGAATTTTCTTCCCATGTTGTCCTGGAAGATACAAAATGCTCTGGAGACTTTAAATGCCTTTAGCCCAGCCCACCACACAGCAAGAACCTTTGTCATCTATGTTTGCTGAAGTGCAAACAGCTGGGGTTCCAATGCCAAGTTTAGCTTAGGTGTATGTATTCACGTTTTATTTCTGAGGGAGAAGCCTTGTTCCTCGGATGTGCAGTGGGAACAGCAGTGCTGTATCCAGCCTAACACCCATTCCCAGTTGAGAAGCGTGCAGCCCACATGGCATTGCAAACCTCTGCACCAAAGCCTTGGAAAAATAGAAGATGGCCAACAGTCACTACCTTACTTTTACTCACATCCCTTTTGTTGTACTCCTCCAGCTTGAACGGGAACCTGATAAGCCAAGAAGAGGCCAAAGCTTTTGAAAATGAAGAGCGGATTATTTGTTTTTGAATGAGGACTTCCCCATTTTGCCAAGTTGGTGTTAACAAAGGTTACTCCTACACTTGGACTGCAGAGTTTATAAAGGTATAAATCTACAGTGCTTGTGGCAGGAGAGAGATACACAATAAGCTGCCTTTTTATGAACACACTGCACTCCCTTAGCTCCATCCTTTACCCTGCCTGTTATTCTTAATCCTTTTGGTGAGTGGGAAGTTGCCTGCGTAAATAATTAATGTTTGTTCGGTGCTTTGAAGATGAAATGCAAAGTGTTAACAGACTAAATCCACTGGCAGGTGTATGTATTTTGATAACTGAGTTTAGATCTATTCTGTACAGTGATGTAAATAATCTCTTAACTTATTTATATACGTAAATAAAGACACACAAATATATATATGCAAGAAAGAGTGCAAAATTCACAAACTCCACCAGTTCTGAGTATTACCTGCCTCAGAACTGAAAACGAATATATACATAGCTTTACCAGAAGTGGTATCTATAGTAGTTGCTTGGTGTCAGTATTTTGAACATTAATTCCTTCTGCCTGCCTAGAAATTAGGTCCCTATTTCTCCACTGACAACAGGCAGCATCCTAGACACTGCTTTTCTTTTTGTTGGGTTTTTTTTGGGTGGGTAGAAATGGATGCATCAGACTCAGATTACTTTCAGTAATCTTTTTTCCCATATGGAAGTCAATCCATTTTCTTTCATGCTACAAGAAGTCCTTACTGCCATCACTGTAAAAACATAACATGGGCAGGAAACCACGTCTGCTTCAAATTTCCAGAGGGCTGCATAGAAACGGCTGCCTTCTGTTTCCACAGTGTTTGTTCTGGGGAGAGGGTCTGGAGACAAACTGAACAATTAATTAGCAGGCTGTTCATTGCCTTGGCTCCTGGCCTAGGCACCGTGCTGGTGGCACTACACCAATATCACGTTGCCCAGCATCAGTGGGGAGAAAGGACGATTGAAAATCAACTGCGTCGAGTAGAAATCCCTTCTCCCAGCAACAGGCAAGCACACAGGAGGATTGAGATTGGCTTGGAAAGCTTTTAGTCTATGCTTGAATCAGTGGACAGAGCAAGGCAAGCAGTAGTAGTAATAATAAGGACCAGCAAGAAAACACTATCCTCCCCCCAATGATTATTGTTTAGGGAGTGTAACTTGAGAGGCTTTAAAAGAAACCAGTTTGCAAAGGAGTGGACTATTTGATTATTTTTTGTGGGAGCTTTACAAACTCAAACTCTATCCCACAGCGTAGGGGGTAGATTTTGAGTTTATAAACCTAAAATAGAAGAGTGTGAGCCATTTTCATCCTTCTCCAATGTTACCATCCCCCCTCCAAACTTTGAGAAGCAATTCTTCGGTTGCTGACTAACCCACAAAACCTTGGTAGGTTGGAAGAAGAATCTCCAGCTAAAATGCCAAACCAGTGAACCCTCACCTCCCCATGTCCCAAATCTGCCCCATGAAGCAAAGTAAATGCTTGCTTTGCAGATCAGAGCTTCTCCATTTCCTATGTGGTAGCAAACCTTTCCCAGCCCTCAATTCTCTCTGCTCCCTTCAGCTCCCTAACACATTTTAAAATACTCATAGGGCTTCTCACAAAACCTGCAGTTATAAAGGAAAAAAAAGGAAGGAAACCAACTTAGTTATTTTTCAGTGTTTTTTCCTCCATGCCTATGGTATCAACACTGATTTTTCACAGGGAGACAAGATGAGGTTTTTCAACCATGCCAGAGGGAACTCAGCTAACTTGAATGATTTCTGCACCTGAGCCATTTGTTTACTGAAGCAAAAGGGCACACAGTTACAGATGAGCTGGATTTCAATTGCCAAAACATCTGCCAAAGCAAAGCCTTTAAAGACTTCTCAGTGACTTTAACAAATCAGAGACTCATGCACCTTGTCAAACTGTGTTTTGCCAGCCTACTCTGATGGAAGGAAGAAGATATTGGTGTAGGGAAGGGCCTTCACCAGAGGTGTAATTTTCCTGTGTTTGAGGAAGTATTCTTCTCCTTTGCTCTAATCACAGAATTATTTTCTCATTTTCCAGGTAGAAAATATGTTTAAAACTACAGTTCCTGTCCTCATTTCACTAATTGACTAAAATAGCTCCCCTCAAGCTTTCCAGTGCAGTCACATCTGCCCCTTTTTTGGGCTAGAGCAACCTTTGGCATTGTTTGTAGTGACAAGCTCGGCCCTGTTGCAAATCTTGTTCCATACTTGGCTGGAACATACAAGCTGGGCATCCTGGTTTTTTTTTTCAGGGACAGCAACATTTACAGGGCTGCAGGAGCTAAATGCATCCTCAGGGTGAGTGGTGGCAGGATCAACCCCAGCTCCATGCAGGACAGAGTTTGGCACTGAACAAGATTACAGTGGCAGAGACAGAGCCAGTCACAGCCACTCCTTTCAGAGGTGATCTTGGGCAGAAAACACTTGTTTGGACTGGGCTGAAGGTTTGAGCACAGCTCACTCTGGGTTTGATAGAACCAAGGGATTTCATAACATCCTGCTCCTAGTTCACCAGAGCAGGGGGTCTGCTTCACAGAGCACATCACAGCTCTGGGAGTCATGCTGGGCAAACTGGTCGCTGCTCTGGGAGTAGCCAGACATGCCTTGTTTATCTGCACAGCATTTCTGGCTGAAGCTCTTCCTGGTCTTACTGGCCTGTTTGTAAGGGCATTGGAGCAACACTTCTGCAGCTTGCAGAGAGAGACTTGTTTACTTAGAGACAACTGTAACTTTTTAAAGACTTGTTTGTAATTTGCTGAAGCCTTCTCTGTACACTGCGTCATGTTTTTCCACTCGTCCACTGTGATAATAAACAGCTTTTTAAAGAACAAGCTGCCTGCAAGTGCTTGGGCTTTGCTGAAGCCCTGTCAAGCAGACGTTTGCTGGATCAAGATGGGACAGTGACACCCCAACTAATTCTGGCTACAGACAAGAGAGAGGAACTGGCACAGCTGGAGAAGGTCTTTCACAGCTGCCACTGCCCATAAGGGGCCTTTCCAGCAGCAGGTGCCAATCCAATTAGGGGCAATGAGGGAAAGCACAGTGGTGCTTCAGGGATTTGCTGCAGCCATGCTGTGCCCCTGTAGTCCTCCTGCCACACTGACTGCAGGAGCTCTTTGCATTTCTACCTGCTGCTGCTGGGGAAAGACTTGCTGGCTTGAGGTGTTACTACTTGTATTTGGCTGGTACAAGCTGTGTGTGTTTACTGGTGCCAGATGACACTGCAGCCCTCAGGGAAGCCCTGACGTGACACAGCGTAGTCCTGCTCCAGTCACACACTGCCAGGTCCTCAGGAAAGGGTGTTTGTCTGAGCCTGGTGTGGCTCACTTTGTGTCACACGTGTCTCCAGGTCCCAGACCGCAGTTTATGACTTGCAGGGTGGTGCAAGGTCATGCAGCCTTTGCTCTTCAACCAGAGCCAGCACAGGATCCCAATCCCACCATCCCATGCTAAAAGAGCAGTACTGATGCCGACATACAGCAAGACAACCACACCTGCTTTTCTGTAGCTTCATTCTGCTCCCTTACCTTGTTTCAGCAGACAAAAACAGGAGCCCACTGCAAAGCTGTACAAATGGCTGCAGTCAGGCTGCATCAGAGCCAGGTGAACAGCAGTGAGGAATGGGTTTGCCATGAGGAAGGAGAGGTCACTGCAGAAACCGCTCGGTTTTCAACTGATGGAATGAGTAATCTTGGCATGAAAAAGCTGCAGCTGTACACAAAGGCCTTAACTGCTGCTTTAGTAGGTAGAAACAACAAAACAGCAGGATTGTGCTAGATGAAAACGGAGGCCAGGCCGGGAGCTGCCAGCTGCACTCGGGGACTCCAAATTTACTCACAGGAGGAGGTTTCTCCCTGCTTGCTGGAGGCTCACAGTTGCTCTGTAGGACAGGTCAGCCTTCTGAAAACACAGTGGAGCAACTGGGGCAAGTCCTTCCTCACTTGCTGGAGTGGGAACAAAAGGTGAGAGGATGCAGGGAGTGCCAGAGGTGCTAGGGGAGCCCCTCTTTCATCCTGGGAAATTGCTGATCGAATCCCCTGTGAATCTCAACAGGGCTGAGGTCAGCCAGTATTCATTCTCCACTCCTAGAGGTAAATGAGAGCTGATGGCACAAGTTGCAGACGTTTGAAATAGCTGCCCTCAGGTACATAAGGGGATGTGAAAACAGGAATGATGTTTCAGAGAAAACAGCAGCTTCAGCTTCAGGAGCATCAAGGCATGAGAGGTCACAGCAGGTGGGTTAAGGAATAAAAACTGGTCTTAGTCAGCTGGGGCAAAAATGACAGTCATTACTTTATACTGGGAAAGCAGGAAATGTCCTGTGCCTTTTGCAGACAAGGAGTCTCTGGGTGATGCAGCGGAAAACAGCAGGTTTCGGGCAGTGCTGATGCCACCTCACCCACTCGAGATCAGCCCCTCCAGGGCTCAAGCAACCCTTAGGGTGGCAATACAGAAATTCCCACCACACACAGGGCCAGCAGCTGCTGCTGGCAGCAGGATTGCGGGCAGGGGGCTCCCAACAGCCCCAGGAGACTGCCCATTGTGCAGTGCTGAAAACAGTGCTGTGCTTGCCCATCCCAGCCCCAACACAGGCTCAGGAGGTGACACGGCTGAAGGGCACTTCTATCTCTGACTGCAGCGAGCGGCTGTGCCCCACAGCAAAGCAGCCCCGGTGCACAAGTGTGGCCCTTGCTCCCGTGGGGCAGGGAGCCAGAGCTCCAGCTCCAGCAAACCCCTTGCAAAAAACTAAATCATGCCCAGCCTCTGCCGTCTGGGGCTTCCCCTGATACACCAAAGGTGGCAACTTCATTAGCTGCTAAAGCCTTGCAAGCCGGGAGACTTGGCCCTCAGACTGGAGCAAATGAAGCTGTCAAGCTTTCATACTCCCATTACCTGCCAGACACTTTGATGTTGAGTTTAGCAGATGTTTATCCCGGCCAGGGTGACTTGTGAGGAGGAAAGCTGCTCCCTTGAGAAGTCACCCGGGTCCGCAGGGGGAGGGAGCGGGTGAGAAGAGCCCACTGCGGGGTCATTCCCTCGGTGACACAGCCCGATGGGGCTGGGGAGAGGCCCGGCAGCTTCCTCTTCCTTGTGTTTGAAGAAACAACTCAGAGGGAAGGGAGGGGGGAGGTTTTGTTAAAATGGAAACGTGTGTTCAAACAAAGCAATCTGTAAACAGGAAGAAAGGAAAGTAGGGCAGAAGCTCGACACAAAACATGACTGCAAAGATAACGGGCCGAGTGTGGAGAGGCACAGAGCACCTGCCATTTCCAGGGCTCCGCCAGGCCCTGGCCCTGCGCCTCAGACCTGCCTCCTCTGCGCTCTTGCCTTTACGAGCAGTGAGTCATCTTGCGTCAACTGAGGATGGGCTTTATGCAATTATTTATTTATGTCAAACCCTCCTCCCTGCCACCACGCATCCCTGATCTCATCCCCCTCAGAAAACAGATGCTTTATTACATGAGGGCTGGAATACTCCTTCTCATTTCGCTTTTGCTGAGGCTCCTTGTTTCCCAGTGGCTGGCTGGCAAGGAGACAGCAGGAATGAGCTGCACAGCACCTCTCAGACAGTGTGCTCTATGGCCTTATTTCGCCTTTTGGACACCAGCTCTCCTCTCCCTGCAAGGTGGGATGGAGCTGGGAGCCTCCTCTACTGAACAAACATTCCGGGGGAGGTTTGCAGACACCAGCAGGCTCCAGCCTGCACCCCTCCAGGCAGACATTGCTCAGGTGTCGTAGCCTCAGAAGGAGAATGAGACCTTACAGAACACGGTGCTCAAAAGCCAGGGGAGGAACTTCCGTCTTTGGCTGCTGCTGCAGGGGACTCTTCCCACCTTCCTGCTCTCTTTGCTGCATGCTGTGTGTTGTTTCCCTCTTTCTGCTAAAAACAATATAGCATCCAGAAGCAGACATGGACCACTGGCTGTACCAAACAACAGTGCATGGTAGCAGGGCCAGACACACACACACACACGTGTATAACACATGTACAACATCACCATCTGTTGCTGACAGTTCCCAGGAACAGCCTGGGGCCAACACAACATCCCAGTTCACCCTACAGCACAAGAAACTTGGGCAGAGGTGGCATGTCCTACATCCCAGCCATAGGGAGGAAGGTAGGACGTAAAACCAACAGATGCTACTAATTTAAATTTCACACATGAAATCCTGTACCTACTGAACTGGAATGATTTCCAGCAGATTTTTCTGATGCAAAGCCAAACTCGGCTCTAACTAGTTATTGATTGCTTCCATAAGATAGCTCAAGACTGAGGAGGAAAACACAGAAATAACCAGCAGTTATGGAATTCAGGCCTTCCAAAGGCGACTGGGAAGAGCAGCTGGGGAAGTAGGGAGGGGTGGTGGAAAAAACGTTACTCTAACAAATGATAGGAACACGTTCCTCATTATTACATCCAACTGTTTCTGGGTGCAGACTTGAATAATTCATGTATTAGAACTATTCATCTCCCACAGAGAGAATTGTCCAATGGTCCAATTATCACTGTGCTTTAGCAACGGGCTCAGTTACCCCCAGCCACACCAAAAGGCTCATCTCAAAACTGGAGCAAGCAAGGACGGACACACAGCTGTAGGGAACCTGTGCCATAAATCCGTGCATCACATTCCATCCGCAGCTATTACCAGCCTGCACAAAGCCCCCTGGCTGGGAGCAGCACCCAAAAAGCATCTCCTGCTGGAGAGTGAACTCCTTTCATTTTCCCCCACATCCTCCAGATAACCTTGGTGAAATGCACTTGGTTTTACTCAGAGCACCCACAGCTCCACTCCCAGCTGGTGTAGGGGGAGAGGTGTAAAATCACACCTTCCCCGCAGCAGACTTACCCCGTACTCAATCCAAAACCACACGGCTCATCTGTGCTCCTGTCCTCATCTCACTTTACATTCAGCACAAGGGCTACAGCTCCCCAGTTGCTGCCAGGCCAGGCAGGAAGGTTTGGAGTGGTAACACAGCCAGCCAGGTCTCTCACACGCACAGTTACCTGCTGCAGGTGACCCGACTTGCAGAGCTGCAGCCACTGCCCCAGGAGAAAGTTTCCAGGCAGTCAGCATCACAGCGCTCTGCCCTTGCCAGGATGCTCCACTGGAGAGCAATTTAATGCCCTCAGTGGCTCTGGGCAGAAATTCCGTCCTCCAGCAACATGTCTCTGCAGGAGCCTGTTATAGTAGCGTTCTTCCAGCTGTTTAGGGACAGATGAGAGTGCTAGTAACCATCAGGGACGAAGAAATCCATGCACTGGCAAGCCACAGGTATGCCGTGAGGGAGACAGTTTTAAAGAGGCAACCATGAAAGTTTTGGGAGGAAGCTAAAGTGGTATTTGGGTTTGAGGAAACGGAAGGAAAGAGCAGCTATTAAGCTATCTTGATCCTCTGATGGAGGTTCCCAAGCTCCAGGTGATGAGAAAGGACTGTTTGCTGCCATATTCTCATATTCCCTTTTTTTTTTCTCCTTTTGAAACCACTCATGAGTTTCCTTACCTCCTGACCTGGCAGCTCTAACTTAGGCTAACCTTGAAGGTCATCATGTCTGCTGAAGATCTACAGAGAATGCATTAACCAGACTTCTCACCTCCGGCCTCCAGCCACCCCCAGAAAACAGCAGCTGCATCAGCTCTCATCTGCTGAGACCTTCCCTGGCCAGACAGATACAAGCCTGTCACTTCACTGCTTGTGGGAGTAAGAGGGACTCCTGCAGGACTGCAGACAGGTGAGATGCCAAGCTGCTTTTCTGGCTGTGACTCTAAACCATGCACTGCTTTTCCCTCCTCTGCTCCAGCTCAGACTGCAGCACACACAGAAGCTCTGT